TTAAAAATATTACTAAAAATGAATTAGCAACATTTTTTTCTAATACTTTAAAAATAGTTTGCAGCGAATCAGAAGGTATAGAAAATATATATTCAATACCTAATCCAAATATTCAAATTAAGTGCATAGTATTAAAATCAAACCAATTAAGAAATAGAATCCTTGCAGCCTTTAATAAATTGAAATATAACAAGACACTGGGAAATTGGCAAGAAATTAATATGTCAGCTGATTTAAATAAAGATTCTCGCAAAAGAAGGAAAAAACTTTTACATTATTATACAGATTTTAAGAAACAAGGATTACAACTAAAACTGCGTGATGACTATCTGTTAATTAATCGTCAAAAAATTACATATAGTTATATTCAGGATCAATTGGTATATGCTGATGATTTTTTGTTGTATTCTCTACAGAAAAACCCAATAACATAATTAATTCAGAATTAGAATGTGAAAATGATCAAGATATTAAAATTTCAAATAATCTTAACTTAAATATCACGAACTGGAACTGCCAAGGCTTAATCCACAAAATAAAAACTCAAGATTTCTTTCAACTACTATATAATACTGATATCTTGGGTATAACTGAAACCTGGCTAGTCACACCAGTTAATGAAATTATAAAAAATAGAATGGAATATACAATTATATTTTCTGACGCACAGAAACCAATAGGACCAGGGAGACCATATGGAGGACTTTGTCTAATATTAAGAAAAAACATTGGTTTCGTAAAATTTATACAAAAAGCAACTAATTATATTCTAATCTTATTACAAATTGATGATACTGATATGAAACATTTATACAAAAAGTTAATTATTATGGTGTTGGTTTACGTTCCGCCTGACCAAATAGATTTACTAAATGAAATACTTCGAACATCATAACAGCTAATATCAATATGAATATAAAAAGATTATTAATTCAATTAAGACTTAATAAATATTCATTGTTTATCAATAATACTTATTTAGATTTTACTAAGGACAGATGTTATTGGTGTAAATCAAATGACTATTCTCTGATCCATATACTAAGAGACTACGAAGGACTAAAGAAATATCATCAAAAATATGAAATTATAGAAGTAATATCTACGAAGTAAAATCAAGACTTTAGAACTAAATTAAACAATCTTACGTTAAATCAAATGTATAAAATTAATGGTTTTTTTTTAATCAAATTGCCAGAGAACTAAAAAATATGTAATAAATTAATAAAATAAAATAAAAAATTGTTTTTACTAATTATGTTACTTAAAGTAAAATATTTAAAAAGGAAAATAATGATAAAATTTAATACTAAACGATTATTGTAATGTTATTAATGATCTTGAGTGTGATGTATATGAAACAATGAAAAATTAACAAATATATAATAATATATTATTGGAAAATACCCCCTGTAACAAGGCTTAGCCTTAATGCAAATAAAAATATTTGATTGATTGATAATTCGGATTTTTAAAGCCAAGTACAGATTGCATTTAATGCAGAGAGTGTTAATAAACATTGAAAGGAAGTTATCAAATTCATATAACAAACATAAAACAAGCATTTGAGATGACTGCCAGCTGCTGGTGAAATTTGCAACCTGTTACAATCAAGAACTGCTGGAAAGAAGGAAATCTTGTCTTCATTCAAGATAATGACATACATGTGTTATCTGACAATGAGAATGATGATCTGTTGTCAAACAGTGAGGCTGGTAACATGCATTTGGTGTCACAAAGTGGCAATCTCCAGGAACTACTCCAAAAATATTCCAGTATTACAGGCAACAGCATAGACATTGTGGCAGAAGAATGCATTTCTGTTGACAAATAACTATATTTATTTACAGACTGCAACAATGAGGCAATTCTGGCAGAGTTAGGAACTGATGTCCAAGATGGGAAAGAGGAAGAAGAATCAGTTCCATGTAAACTCCCCAGTAACTTAGAAGTTATTTCTCAAATGGAAACAATTCAACACATGGCAATCATAATTCCTGGAATTGGAAATGAACAACTAGCTGCTCTTGACACAGTTTGTTCAGCATTTGTAAACCACAGCTTGCAAAAAATGAGTCAAAGCAAAATAACAAATTTTTTTAAGACAAATAAAGTTCAAAACAATGTAATACAATTTCCTGGTTAATAAATAATTCAAAAACATTCAGAGACCTTTATATAAATTGTAGTAATTAATATTTAAACTAATCTTCACTTTTTTGACAATTTCAGCCTTTAAGTTTCAAGACCTCACTACAACAATAACCCCGTATAACAATACTATTTTCCTGTCCCACAAAATATCATTGTAGTGAGGTTTGACTGTATATAATAATTGAATGTGTACAAAAAACAAAATTTCAGTTGGTATTCAAGTAATTTAACCTTTCCACTATCAAATGATTCTATTTATTATGCTTATTGCTTTTTTAAATAAATTAATTTAATTAATTTAAACAATTTCTATAATAATTTGCTTTTTAAAGTGAAAAGATTTTACATTCATGTAAAATTAAATATTTTTTATGTGATAATTTATAATCTTCAAATAATTTAATTCAATGACAGTATGGTGTCTGTCACTAGTCAATCTTTGTTTTCCATTTACTTTGTGAACGTAGAAACCTAGCAGATGTTAAAAGAGAATAGAGATTTTTCCTTCCTCAAAGATTGCAGTTCAAAGGCGGGACTATATCAATTCATTTTTCAAAGTAGTTCCACCTTCATTTTAAAATTGTATAATTTTTCCCTCAAATATAAAAAATTTTAAGTAATAAATTTTACCCTTAGCTAATGCTAAATTTGTGCAACATTAAACTATTGATGTAGTTAGAAGTTTAATTGTATACCAATTAAATGTTTAAAAAATGTTGATTGTAGTACCTCCTTGTAACTAGTTTAACCCATAACATGTATATAAATGGTTTGATAATTATTTTTTTATTATTATTTTTATTTTTTAACACCTCAAAGTAGCTTGACAACCAAAATACAAATTTAAGACATATACTGTATTTACTCACGTATAAGACAATCTCACATATAGGACAAGGTGTGACTTTAAAGATCAAAATAAAGAAAATTAGATTTATTAATACAATTCTAATTTTATTTTGTTTAATCACATGTAAAATATTATCAAATGCACATATTAAGACAAACAACCATGTTTTCTTGACGCTCTCACTCCATAAAGCATCCCCTCCTCTGATCTGTCAAGTGAATTTGAAATGTAGTATTTCCTGAATGACTCTGTTATCAGCTCTGGAGAAATGCTTTTCCATGCACCTGATACCCACATAGCAAAATCAAAAGATTATAATGTGCATGACCAGAAAAGGTTTATTTTTAATGATTCAGAATGTGCAAATATTCATTAAAAATACCAAATATGAAATAACTACATTTATAATCATTACTAGGTGACCAGTTATTTTTGGACCATCTCTTTGAAAGTGACATTCGCCTTGGCCTTGATAACACCCTGCTATAATGGTAGTATGAACTATACACAGTTCACAAAAATTATTGCAAAATGATAAAGAATCTTCTCTCGCATATATAAGATGACCTAGGTTTTTGAAGCAGTGAAAAACGAATAAAAACCTAGTCTTATATGCTAGTAATTACAGTAAACATCCATATAGCTATAAGGAAAGATACTTATTGAATAACTAATTTAAATAGAAGAGAAAACATAATTCTTTTAATCATTAATTAGGCTTAAAATGAATATATTCTGCATAGTTTTGCTTTACATTATATAAATTATTTGTATTGATAAGAATAATTTGTATAGAAAATAAATTCTCATCTAGTGAAAGATGAATGCAGTTTATAATTAAGAATATAGAAGTAGAAACTTTAAAAATGGTATAATATATACATATTGATTTACAAAAAATAACTCTAATTATTTTGTTAAATTTTATCAAGTACTAGCTTACTCGTCGCACATTGCTGTGATCTCAGAAGAAATTCAAGCAAACTCGTTATAATAAAATTCAATTTACATTTTATCATTTTGATTGAAACTTATTATTATTATATTATTATTGTTATTCATTTTCATCAGGAAAACATTTCAAAGTGTCATTTCAATTCTATTTATTTATTAGAGTGCTTGTGGATACACAATATCTTTTTGTTTTTCCGTCTGGTGCGTACACGAATAAATCAGAAGGTTTTCCGACGCATGAGCTGGCCACATTCAGTTGTCCATGTGAGAAGCATGGATTCTCCAAATCTAGCCCACACACTTGCAGCGATTGTCAGAAGTACGATATTCCCCATTTTGATATATTTTTTTTAATCCTTTACAATTTTAGCTCCTTCCTCTCTTCCTTGGCATGTTGTGAAATTTCTGATAGTTGGATAATAAACCGTTTTATTGTAATTTGTCTTTTTAAATTATTGTGAGTTGATATTAAAATTTGGAAAAGGAGGATCCCTAGATCGGTAAAATAGGCAAATTTCCTCCTACAACTTCAGTTGTTGTTCGGGATACAGTTAAAGTTTTAACAAAGTTTGAGCGAATACATAATTAGCAAAAAATAGTTGAAATAAAGTGATTAAACAAAAATTATTACAAATATCATAAATAACAGTTTACAAATGCATATATAGAGATATTTTTTGGAGGGGGGAAATGGTCGTCACAATTTGAAATCGATCGAACTCACGATGAAATGCTTATATACACTTGTGCCATCTATCGTAGGATAAATGTACTATGCCAGAAACCTTTATGGGAGTATATTAAACAACTTCCCAAAGTTTCATGGCAATCGGATAAACGGTGTGGTAATGCTTGAAGGACAGACAGGCAGACATACATTATTTTTATATATATGGATTTCAATGCTATACTTTGTTTTCATTTTCTTTTTCCAGGAATTGGAAAAAAATTTTCAAATGTTCATTATTAAAGTGTCATTTATGATTAATTTCCAATAAAATGTATATATTTATTAAAAAGCCAAATTATGTTTCTATTGTAGGTCGTATGGCGTGGTCTTATGGGAAATGGCAACACTTTCGTCTCAACCGTATCAAGGCCTTTCTAATGAGCAGGTCTTAAAATACGTGATGCATGGCGGAACAATGGAAAAACCAGAAAACTGTCCAGAAATATTGTAAGATTTTATTTTTAATTTTTTTATATTTATTTTTAAGGATGATATTGCTTTAATAAGTGAAAAATGTATTTATTTACAGGTACATGTTAATGAGTCAGTGCTGGAATAGTAATCCATTGAGGAGGCCAACATTCATAGACATAATTGAGGAATTGTTGAAGTACGTGACATCATCACAGTTCCAGAAGTCTTCATTTTACTTCTCTCAGTCAAATAACCAAGATGATAATGATACTGCCTCTACTCCTTTGAAGTCTCCCACTAATGACAACATATCATTAAAAAGTCTAAATAACGAAACGGACATGTATTACTTTCCCAGTTCAACCATAACATCCGAAACATCTGGAAATAATCAAATTAACAGTGAACAATCTACCAATGTGGCAAAAACTAACAGACAGAATTGTGATGGTAGTAAGGGTATGTCTCTTACTTGTTCAGATGACAGCCAAGGTAGCAAGGTTAGTAACTTATCGAATGGAAGTGCCATCACTTGACGCTCTCACTCCATAAAGCATCCCCTCCTCTGATCTGTCAAGTGAATTTGAAATGTAGTATTTCCTGAATGACTCTGTTATCAGCTCTGGAGAAATGCTTTTCCATGCACCTGATACCCACATAGCAAAATCAAAAGATTATAATGTGCATGACCAGAAAAGGTTTATTTTTAATGATTCAGAATGTGCAAATATTCATTAAAAATACCAAATATGAAATAACTACATTTATAATCATTACTAGGTGACCAGTTATTTTTGGACCATCTCTTTGAAAGTGACATTCGCCTTGGCCTTGATAACACCCTGCTATAATGGTAGTATGAACTATACACAGTTCACAAAAATTATTGCAAAATGATAAAGAATCTTCTCTCGCATATATAAGATGACCTAGGTTTTTGAAGCAGTGAAAAACGAATAAAAACCTAGTCTTATATGCTAGTAATTACAGTAAACATCCATATAGCTATAAGGAAAGATACTTATTGAATAACTAATTTAAATAGAAGAGAAAACATAATTCTTTTAATCATTAATTAGGCTTAAAATGAATATATTCTGCATAGTTTTGCTTTACATTATATAAATTATTTGTATTGATAAGAATAATTTGTATAGAAAATAAATTCTCATCTAGTGAAAGATGAATGCAGTTTATAATTAAGAATATAGAAGTAGAAACTTTAAAAATGGTATAATATATACATATTGATTTACAAAAAATAACTCTAATTATTTTGTTAAATTTTATCAAGTACTAGCTTACTCGTCGCACATTGCTGTGATCTCAGAAGAAATTCAAGCAAACTCGTTATAATAAAATTCAATTTACATTTTATCATTTTGATTGAAACTTATTATTATTATATTATTATTGTTATTCATTTTCATCAGGAAAACATTTCAAAGTGTCATTTCAATTCTATTTATTTATTAGAGTGCTTGTGGATACACAATATCTTTTTGTTTTTCCGTCTGGTGCGTACACGAATAAATCAGAAGGTTTTCCGATGTGTGAGCTGGCCACATTCAGTTGTCCATGTGAGAAGCATGGATTCTCCAAATCTAGCCCACACACTTGCAGCGATTGTCAGAAGTACGATATTCCCCATTTTGATATATTTTTTTTAATCCTTTACAATTTTAGCTCCTTCCTCTCTTCCTTGGCATGTTGTGAAATTTCTGATAGTTGGATAATAAACCGTTTTATTGTAATTTGTCTTTTTAAATTATTGTGAGTTGATATTAAAATTTGGAAAAGGAGGATCCCTAGATCGGTAAAATAGGCAAATTTCCTCCTACAACTTCAGTTGTTGTTCGGGATACAGTTAAAGTTTTAACAAAGTTTGAGCGAATACATAATTAGCAAAAAATAGTTGAAATAAAGTGATTAAACAAAAATTATTACAAATATCATAAATAACAGTTTACAAATGCATATATAGAGATATTTTTTGGAGGGGGGAAATGGTCGTCACAATTTGAAATCGATCGAACTCACGATGAAATGCTTATATACACTTGTGCCATCTATCGTAGGATAAATGTACTATGCCAGAAATCTTTGTGGGAGTATATTAAACAACTTCCCAAAGTTTCATGGCAATCGGATAAACGGTGTGGTAATGCTTGAAGGACAGACAGGCAGACATACATTATTTTTATATATATGGATTTCAATGCTATACTTTGTTTTCATTTTCTTTTTCCAGGAATTGGAAAAAAATTTTCAAATGTTCATTATTAAAGTGTCATTTATGATTAATTTCCAATAAAATGTATATATTTATTAAAAAGCCAAATTATGTTTCTATTGTAGGTCGTATGGCGTGGTCTTATGGGAAATGGCAACACTTTCGTCTCAACCGTATCAAGGCCTTTCTAATGAGCAGGTCTTAAAATACGTGATGCATGGCGGAACAATGGAAAAACCAGAAAACTGTCCAGAAATATTGTAAGATTTTATTTTTAATTTTTTTATATTTATTTTTAAGGATGATATTGCTTTAATAAGTGAAAAATGTATTTATTTACAGGTACATGTTAATGAGTCAGTGCTGGAATAGTAATCCATTGAGGAGGCCAACATTCATAGACATAATTGAGGAATTGTTGAAGTACGTGACATCATCACAGTTCCAGAAGTCTTCATTTTACTTCTCTCAGTCAAATAACCAAGATGATAATGATACTGCCTCTACTCCTTTGAAGTCTCCCACTAATGACAACATATCATTAAAAAGTCTAAATAACGAAACGGACATGTATTACTTTCCCAGTTCAACCATAACATCCGAAACATCTGGAAATAATCAAATTAACAGTGAACAATCTACCAATGTGGCAAAAACTAACAGACAGAATTGTGATGGTAGTAAGGGTATGTCTCTTACTTGTTCGGATGACAGCCAAGGTAGCAAGGTTAGTAACTTATCGAATGGAAGTGCCATCAATGGTAGTGTGTATTTTCCCAAAGAAAGGACTATGATGTGCTAAAAACTAAATTTCTGATAACATGGCCATTTCATAATCATTGATAATAATAATAAACATAATACATGTTGTAAATAATCATCAAGAAAGTCATTCATTTCAAATTTTTTCATAAGACATTTTGATGGATTTGTTCTGCTCCATGTGTGTTAAGTATAAAAATACTAGCCAAATTTTTTTTTATATTAACTAAAGTTTTTTTTAATTAAATATAATGTGTGTTTTGCAAATATCCATTATGTATAAAATTATTTTCTTAAATCTGTCAATCTTATAATCCGAGTTTTTTTTCATGTTTGTTAATTCGGGTATTTTATATCTTAATCAAGTAGGGCCAACTGTTTAAGTGATGCCTATTTTGAATTGTAATTAATGGCAAAGGTTTCCATTTTGTAACTGAAGCACATTTCAGTATTGATGTTCGAATCAATGAAATAGGGATGTTGATCTAATATATGTCAAAATTTTTCTAAACTTTTGTATTTGACTAATGTTTGTTTGGTAAAGAATGCAGAATTCACTCTCAGGAATTTAGTGTATGAATTCTGTCTTGATCCTCCTAATTTTGTGCGAGTAATTTGAGTTAATGTCATTCTCAATCCCTTGTCCATGCTGTCAGCATTGCCATAAGTCAGCTAGAAGAACTATCGTCAATGTGCAAAATTGAGATTGGACATAAAGCCGAATGTACATTGTGCCTCATGAAACAAACCAGTCCAATTTTAAAACTATATTTTCACATGAGTATGTAAATATTTTCATTCAAGTATATTATCTTTCCATTAGAATTACATTAAATTAAATAAAAATACATCAGAACACCATCTGTGAAATGTAGATTTTAGACTGAGCTTTAGTTTAGACAACATAATCAAAGTTTTTACATAGATTACTTTTCTAATGAAAATTTTAAAAAGTTTGATTTCAAAAATCATAATTTTGAAACTGACTTATTCAGTTGGCCCTAACATTTGGAATATTAAATTATTAGCTGTGATGCCATACACGATTTAATATTTTTAAACCCTGCATTTAAAAAGTTCAAATTGGAATGGAATTGTACTAAATAACAAATGTGTGTACAATAGAAATTCGTCAGCCAATACGACCTGCCAATACTTTTTAAAAAAATTTTCATCTCATTTTCTCTTAATAAATGCCTTAGGACATTGCATACATTCATAGGTCGTCATTCTATCATTGCATTCATTTTAAATTTAAATTTTATATTTTGTGCCAAAATAGTTAGCAAACATTTTTCTAAAATTTCCATATTAAGATATAATAATAATATATAATCTCTTAACTGTGTAATTTTACATCATAAATATATAAAAGTGTTATAGACGTAGCATTAATTTGATAAAATACATATATTCTGACGCATACTGTATTTGCTCAGATTTTTTCGTTCTAAACCTGTATATATAAATAAATTTTCTCTAAAGTTGTATATTATTTTTTAAAACTTAATCGTATTGCCTTTTTGTTTGTGTAATTACTGTGCTTAATCATTATGTGCAATTAATTTTTGAGGATAAAAGGATAGAAAACAAAAACATATATGGTTTTAACAATTAAATTTTGTCATAGGAAAAAAAAGGATCATTTATCAATCTACAGAAAGATTTAATTTCAAAAAATAATAAAAGAATCTTAAATTTTGCATTTTGTGCCAAAATAAATGCAGCTCATTTTTCTATTCCATTTAAAATACTTAAGTTATAAACATAATTAAAAAAAAAAAAAAAAGCACAAATTGGAAAAATAACTTAATTTGCCTATGCTCAAGCATTAAACTTTTGCTTATAAAACTTTGCTAAATAGCAATTATTATTATGCAAACTTCTTTTTTGTTACTAAAGTAACTAAAGTAGAAATTTATAAAAAAAATTATTGCAATTATTGCTTTATTTTATACAATAAAAATTGAATCAAGTACAATTATTTCTCAAGGATAAATTTCCATTTATCAAAGTAAATAATGATGCATAATTTTTTTTGCATTATTTTGTTTTTTTTTTTAGAATGGAATTCTTTCAAGATTTTATATATATTATCTAGTCAACATTTGTGAAGAAAATAAATACATTTTTTTGTTGGAGTTGATTCGTTGCATCAATTAGATTTAAATGATTTCCAGTTTTTGTTACCACTACAATTTCTTCTGACAAATATTTAAAACGTAGTAGCAACAAAAGATATTTTTGTATAAATTTCAGGTAATCAAAACCAAAAGAAAAAAATTGACATATTTATGGATGTAACAAAGTAGTTTACCAACCTGATTAATGCAAATATTCATCTCCAACTTAATTAGCAAATCTGGTGCTAATGAATGCCTCCAAAACGTTTTGTAAGATATGAGTCGATTTATAATCTGCGACCGTTTGCTGTAAAATAAATGTAAAGATTGAATACGTGATTTGAAACGTCTTAATCAAAAGAAAAGAACTTTTTGTCTTAGATATTATATTTTTTATACTATGATAGATCATAAAATTTCATTTTGTAGAGAAATTTACAGCAAATAGAGATTATAGTTTGTAAATATATTTTAAGAATTTCTGATATGTTAATAATGTATGATGCAGTTGAAAAATTTTGTTGCATGTATCTAGCTGAAAGTATAATAAATAAAAATTATAAAGCATATATTTGCTTTTATTGACTTATTAAATAATTATATGCGATTTTTAAAATTAGCCTTTGCATATTGCTTTATTATTATAACTAGTTTTCAAGAAAAAACACTCTTGAAAATTAATCTTTTTGTAATTAATTACTTAAAAAATAATAAATTTAGACAAATTAATTATTGAAAATTTTAACATCTTAGCAATCAAACAAGAACTTAATATTTTCAGATAAAAGTAGAAGAATTTAAAAAAATGATTATAAAGTACTAAAGTGATCTTTTCCAACTTCATGACATGCAAGTGTACTGTGTGCAACAAGAGTGCTGTGGGCATGTTGTGGAAATATAAAATATTTTTAGAATTTTGAATAAGCTCTTTTTTTAAAATTTCATTTATCTCTTGTCTTTTTTACTGCCGGCTGATCGAAAGAGGCGATATTCACTAAATTGTCAATTGTTGCAAAATTTGCAGCATTGACGTATCCCCCTTGTCTATGCATATGCCAGTGTACTAACTCTTTGGAGTTTCTATAAACATTGCAGCTTACTGGTTTAAAGATCAATACTAGCTCCTTAAGAATTGATTGGTTGACCTATAAATCAATTCTGATTTATAGGTCAACCAATAATATAAATATCCGCTGTTGTCCATCCGTGTTTCCTTAATCTCGAGAATGGAATTAGATAAAAGACGAGACCAGATATGGAAACCTTAAGGGCAGGAGGCCCCAATTAACTGTACTCAAACTTTAGTTTGCACTGGATGATACATTAAATTTTCCCCCAAAAGGTGTTGGATAGATGACTGGCATAACTCAATTGTCAAAGGAAATTATGATGTATAGGAGCAAGTCACTACTAATTTGAAGTGGAGAGCATATATTTTAAGTTAAATAAATTAAAAATATGATTAAAAATTGCAGCCTGTCATTGTGATGTTACAATAAATAATTGCTTGCCCAAATAGTCTTTTTATTTTTATGGTAGAGGAGAAGGTGGTATTATGGAACCCCATTTTCATTATAGTGAATTGTAAACAAGGTATCATAACTACATCCACATTTTTTGTGCAGAAAGTACTGGTAACTATTAAACTAAATGTTCCTAATTGGCTTTTTTGCTAGTGTAACTATCAGTATGGTTTTTGAAGGCTTCTGTACAAAAAATCAGAAAGTAGGCTTAGGGAAAACCGGGTGGTAATATGGAACCTTACTGTATGTTTTCAAAAAATGCTTTAATGTATCCAAAAACAAATAGGAAAGTACAAAACAAGTTAAATAATTACAAAGTCATTTACTCCAATGTATTTTATCGAAAAAATGCTTTTATAATATAAAAATATGACCTCCATCAATAATATATATTCCAGCAGCTCTTTTTCGATATTCTCAGAAAGAATTGGTTTTCTACCTAGTGTCTTTTTCACAAATTGCTCCGGACAAATGTCTGCTTGCAAAGAGAGAGTTTGGAGGAGTTGGGTTCATATTAAAAGCACCAATGGGATCCGTATTTCACGCATCTCCATCTTGGGTTAACTTAATTCCTGTCGACACCAAACTTTAAAAAACGTGAACATCACAGAGATATGTACCCCTAAGTCTCTGGAACAGAATACATGCACCAGTGAACCTACAACTACACGATTTATATTTTAAAAATAATTAAATTCACTTACCATTCAAAACTTTCGAATTTTGAAAAACACAAATATGATTCACTACGGACAACCATTTAACTGAAGTGAAATGGGTTTTCTCCTTGCTATGGATGTCTGCCTAGTGCAGTTCAGTCACAATCCGCTACAAAATCTGCCTTTATTATCAGTTTGAAATGGAGGGGTTCCATAATACCATCTTCTCCTCTATATTTGTAAAATTGTGAGTTTTTGTCTTGTAAGTTTAACTTCTATATTCTCAAAATTTTTTAAAATCAATCATAATTTATTTTAAATTTTAAAAATTATGGTGTTGCAGGATCTTGTTAAATTCAAAGTGTGTCACTAATCCAAAAATGTTGGGAAACACTGCACTAGAATAAAAAGTAAGCAACTTTTAATGTTACCTAGCAATGGTTGTAATTACAAGCACACATGCATTCAAACATTTTCTTAGATATGTGAATACTTCCTTAATATTCAGTTAAATGTCTGTATTTGGATGAATTAAAACACAAAATTGATATTAGATTTTGTCACATTTACCAAAGCATAAAGTAATGAAATCCTGCTTATGTATGCAAGTTTATAAAGTGTGCATTAAGGCAAAAACACCTTCATCTCTGGCAGTTATTTGTAAAAAATTGTTTTTGATAGATATTAAGACTGGTAAACAGAATAAAATCCAAATATTTAGCTACAAAACTGTAGAAGTGGCATTTATGATAAGAAATACATCTGGACAATATTGAAATGATTAGAGGTTACATCTAACACTAAATAAAACTGGAAAATAATTTAAGTACAATTCAGTAACCTTATGCCAGTCCAGCAGGATAAAAAATCCATTCAAATGTTTTCAGCCTACAGCTTATATTTTGTAAGGTGGTGCAACATACCATATTCTTGGAATCCATGACAATGATCAAGTTTTTCATGAATGAGTGATTTTGAAAAGTCGTGGCCATCATTATCATCTGAATTCACATTCATATTTATTTTTGTGAATAGCCTGCAAATTTGATTGTTGAAGAAAAACAATAAAATTATACAAATGTATGACATTATGCAAAAAAAAAAATATATATATATATATATTTCCTGAATGATACAAAATCTGTGTTCTGTAAGAAGCAAAGTAGTAATGTATCCAATATTAATCCACCAATTCCCAATATATAGCTTGTACTTTCCTTTATGTGAATCATTCTGTATTTTACTGTTTTTCATTTAATGTTGTGTAACCGTAAGTTGTTATATTACATTAATAAATTAATTTTTACATTTTCTACTTACAGTATTAATGTTTAGAAAATGTATTACAAAATTTGATGCAAGCATTAAACTTAATATCAACTAAAATGAGAATCACTTTAATATAAATCAATAAAATTTAATTTAATTTGAAAGTTTTGTATATTAAAAATTCAGTACTTATTGGTTAGCAGGGCACCAGTCAGATGCAATCTAACTCTAACCTAAACCTAAAATTAAACCTAACCTATCCATTTGGGAAATCCTCTCTGAACCAATTATCAACCTAATACACGCAAGTTGGATCACATCAATTGACTGGTGCCCTGCTAACCAGAAAATACTAAAAATTCATACAGAACTAATTTAAAAAAAATAAATTTTATTTATTTTTTTAATCATTTTAATAATTTGTCATAACAATATAACACTAATTAAATTGCATGAAACCTTAACAAGTACATTAACAATAAACTTATAAAAATGCAGTTTGTCAAATACAAACAAGACTGATATTTAAATTAAATAAGAATATAAAATAAATATTTTGTTAATTTTTGTAGTAAAAAAATATATATCTAATAGGACAATTGCTCTCTTAACTTTTTAATTTGTTCCAATAAGCTTTCATAATATTTCAACTTTGCTAATAAAAGTTGAGCTTTGTCTATGTCTGAACATTCAAATGCTTCTGCCACATTTTTATACAGTTCCTCCATAGAAGTGGAATTGGAAAGATTAAATTCTTCTAAACTTTCGGTATCTTTAATTTCGGCCAAGCATTCATTTAATTCCATAATCTTTGCCAAGAATTCCGGTTCCATACGCACGCCGTCTTCCACCAATGGCTTTTGGTGTAATTCCAACAGATACAGTCCACGTTCCATTCTGTTTGAAAGGGCCTTATATGCCTTATTAACCAGCGACGATTGCTGTGCAGATAATTCCTGCTCTCTGAGAGACTTCGTAGTAAACTTATCGGGATGGAGATGTCGTTGCAAATCCCTAAATGTCATCGTGATTTTAGACACATCAACTTCAAAGCTCTGAGGTACGCCCATAAGTTCAAAATAGTTGACATCATTGCTTGGTAATTGTATATAATTACATTTTGAACAGAATAAATCCAGCTTCTTCAATATAAATTGACAATTCCAACATTTTTCTCCTGTTGAACAGCATTTTCTTGATACTAACAAGATTCTGTTAATTTGAATTAATTTATATGCATTTGTATTGTTCAGGATTCTTGAAAATGTGAATAATTTCATATTTCTTTGATGTATATTGAAGTGAATGCAATATCTGAGAAAATTCAAAGTTCTGTTCATTTTTGTCTAGCAATTAGATATGCTTTAACCAGTTAAATGATTGGTTAATATTACTGTACGCATCAAAAAAATATTTTTAAAACTAAGAGTTTAACAAAATATTTCTTATATAATTATCACTTATTGGGTGCGGCCATCTTGAATCTCTATTGAGTGTTGCCAACTGAGAGGTGATGGAAAATTTTCTTCAAAAATATATTAAGGTCATATTAAAAAATATATTATATAATAGAATATATTAAAAAATATACTCGTAAAGTCAAACGAGTCAAACGCGTTAATTTACTTCGTTAAGAAAATGGCGCCCGACGATATCGATGTTTCTAAATCTACTCGAATGTTTAAATTGCGAATTAAAAGGTGAAATGATAGAAATAACTGTCCACCCGAAGCATTCTAAGAAAAATATTTCGGATAAGGCTGACCTAGCAACATTCATATCTTCGATTTTAGATGAATCGTTCGAAAAGTCTAACGAAATAAGAATAACGATGACGTCATTCTCGTTTAACTCATTCGACTTTATAAACATACCCTGATACAGTATTTATATCAGGAAATTTTGAAAGTTTGTCACAAAATTTTAGTTTTATTATTAACAGTAAATTTATATTGAACAGGTTGCGTTAATTTATTATACTTATACATAATTATTGTCTTTTTTTCTGTTGTTAAATCTTTCTGCCTGTGAGTTTTTTAAAATTAACTCTCCGCCCTGTGGGCACTAACAGGGCCTCTTTTTAGCAAGCCCGTTATGGATTCGGCCAAGCCCACAACGGGGCGGCCGAGACGGGGGCTGACATATTTGGTCCTGCCACTCCGAAAAATTCCTGGGGATTTTTCAACCCGTCTGGTTTTGATTCAGGATCATCGGAGCAGTAGGCTGCCACCTTGACCGTTCGGCCATCCGGCCATCATCCAATGATGTGTATGGAACAAATTCCTTATTGCCCACAGGGTGAAAAGAATCAAAAATGGAAAACAAGGTTTAATAATAATAGTGCCAAGTATTTGAGATTGAATTTTTTTAACAGTAATAATTTATAGACGGTCGGATGCCCGAGCGGTCAAGGTGGCAGCCTACCGCTTCTGGGAACCCGGGATCGAATCCGGACGGGACGAAAATTCCCAGAATTTTTCGACCGGGAGTGGGCCGTCCAGATATGTCGGGCCCCGTCCCTCACCACAGTGGGGTAGTCAGGTGGTCTGACTACCCCATTGTGGGCCTGGCCGAACCCATAATGGACTTACTAAAAGAGGCTGTCTTAATGTCCACAGGTCGAAAAGACTTCAAAAAAAGTAATAATTAATATTTTATCTATTTTAATTCATATTGATTATTTTCTCCGCTAATAATTTATTTACTTTTATCTCACTAATCATTACTAATTTGTACATGTAAAATACTTCCTTTCTAACATTTTATTCCCTTCACCAACCGGCCGCCATTTTGTGGGCCTGGTAGAATAATGGGCTTGTCAAAAAGTCCTTCTTAATACCCACAAGGTGAAAAAAATTTTAAAAACTTATTTCTGTCCTTATAATTAACTTGTACTCCATTTTTCGTTTGTTCTTTCAAACATATCTCAAAATTTACTGAAGTTTTTTTTTTTTTTACTTTTTCCGCCCTGTGAGCACTAAGAGGGCCTCTTTTTGCAAGCTCATTATGGGTTCGGCCAGGCCCACAATGGGGCTGTCGGGTGCCCGACATATCCGAACGGACCACCTCCCGAAAAATTCCTGGAGATTTTTCGACCAGTTCGGATTCGAGCCTGGGTCCCCCAGAGCGGTCAAGGTGTCAGCCTTGATCGCTCGGCCATCCGGCCACTATTTACTGAAGATTATATAGCAGGGGTGGGCAAGCAAGAGGTCAGTGGGAGCCGAAATGTAGGTTTTGCAAAATGCATGGGAGCTGCAGTTCTGTACTTTTTAATTCTGTACTGCGGTTCTGTACCGCGATTTTATTATATAATATAAATATTATATAAAACAAATATTCAATTTTTTTAATAAACATATTTTCACAAAATTGTGGAAATAAAATTATAAAAATAATAATAAAAAGCAGAAATTAACACTTTCAGCAAGAGCTGCATGCGGCTCTCGGAGACGCATGCAGCTCGGAGATTTGCCCATGGTGGTTATATAGCCATACGATACGGTATGAACTTGCAGACGTGAGAATTACATTCAAATCGGATTATGATTCTGTAATTTATAGATCTCTTTATTAATCTGCATTTTCCGTTAATTTTTAGAAAAAATTTGAGTTCGCTTATTTTCTCTCTCAATGCTTGTCAGTTTATTATGAATTCAAATACTTAGCAGTAAATGAAATTTAGAATCGTGGAAGTATAAGTACAGTGGAACAGTGGAACCCCGGTTAACGAACGTCCTGGTTAACGACCAAATCGGTTAACGAACTTTTATTTTGCAAAAATTTTGTCTCGGATAACGAACAAAATTCGGATAACGAACGGTATTTTGTGTCAAATTTTAGTTGATGTTAGGCATGCGCGAGTTAAGCATTGCTTTTCCGAGTGTTTGTGCTATACTTCTTTTTTCAGTTCTATGATTTATATATTTAATCAATACGGCATCAAAGAAAGAAAAAAGTCATAGTGGTAATAGAAAACGACAACGCGCTATCGCATTTGAGAACGATTTTGCTTAAAAGAGTAAGACAATCAACTTTAGATCAATTTCTTGTTCCTTACGGAAAGAGTTTGTTTGTTAAGTTATGGCAACGCAACACTTAGGCGATCTGCCTAGGGGAATGCCTTCTGGGAAGTGTTTTTTAAGGGGAAACTGGCCCCTATTTAGGCGTTACAGACGTGGAGAAAACCCAAAAAACTCCACGTGGCCAGCCCGTTTGAACGAGGTGCGAACCCCCGAAAGAACTCCCCGTGTTCAAGGTACTAAGACCACTTAGCCACTGGTGGTTTTTTTTTTTTTTACCGAAAGAGACTTCGACTCGAAGAATCTTCCGATGAAGTGCTAACCGATATTTTTTTGGAGGAGATTCCCCTTCTAAGAATTAAGGTTCGTGTATCATCACTTTTCTGCCACCAACTACAACAAACGAAGGTATGTACAGTACAGTTCTATTTTATTAAACAAAGTTTACATGCTTGTTGCTGTAATGATAGATACTACGTTTTCCTAATTTTCATGAAAGAAAATCTACTGTGTATTACAAATAAAATCACAAAAATTTCAGAGACTAGAACGGATTAATTGCATCTGCATTAATTTCTATGGGAAAAATTGCTTCGGTTAACGAACAATTCAGTTAACGAACGGTGTCGCGGAACGGATTAAGTTCGTTAACCGGGGTTCCACTGTATTACCATCAGAAAGAGCCATGTTTTATTTTCTCGCTTATTTTCATTTAGGTAAATATAACAATCAAAAGACAAAGACGGCCGGATGGCAGCCCACCGCTCTGGGGCAGTGGCGTAGCGTAGTGGGGGCGGCAAGGGCGGCACTTTTAGGGAGCGGCAAAATTTCACAATAAATAATAATAATATCTTGTAAAAATTTGAACCATTTCATTTCATATTTTTGTCGCATCTACGATTCGGACCGATTGAAATGAACACGGAATTTTTCATTACTTATTCGGTGAGACAAAACTGAATTTTAGTCTTTTAAATTGAGATACATAAATAAAGGAGCGGCGAAATTTTCCTCCGATCCAAATTCTGTCACAATACTCACTGAAGAAATTAAAGCCCGTAAAGCGAAAAATATAGAGAAAAAAATTAAATTCAAATTCAATAAATTATAAAAATTTTATTATTTAATTTTATAATTAATGTACAATAATACATTATAAAAATAAGTTAATAGCTCAAAAAAAAAATAAAATAAAATAAAAGAGAGAGAGAGTAGAGTAGAGAGTTGAAATAAATCCAAGTTAGTAAGTGAGCTGGCAACATTTTCTCTTAGTCGTTGAGGTTTTCGGTCGAAAATGGTAAGTTATACGTACCTAAATCCAATTTCATCCGTATCTTTGTATATTTAATCTAATTGTTTTTATATTAAAATTAAATTATTGTCATCATATTCGATATACATGCAGATAAAATTAAGTTTTTAAAATTTGTTCAATGTATTGAATAAGTAATTCACTAAACCTAAAATTTCCGCAATACCTCACGAGTTTTTCGAAGTTTTCTTACTATTTTGCAGGACTAGCTTATTAGGATATTATTGAGTGTTTTTTCTGTTTGATTTAATGAAGTTTTAAGTAAATCTTCGAAATATTGTGTTATAACAGGCTTTAATTGATGATTGTTACACGAGAATTTCTATACACAATGTTCGGCATGCCCAATGTCCGCCGTTTCCCTATTAATTTAATTTAGATATGTAATAATAAATACATTTTTACATGTTGAATAGTTAATTAATTAACATAAATAGACAATTAAGAAACAAAAGACAGAATTATGGGTCTGAGTATAGGGTAGAAGTTGAGGTCATTTGTTTATATATCATACATTGCTGTGAAAACAGTCTTTTCACATAGTACTCTATGTGAAAACATATTAATTATATTCTTCAAGGAAATATAAAAAATTCACAGTTACTTAGTATTACAGAAAAATTAAAAAGGAACTTAAATCAGGATGGTTGCATTTGGCAGACTTGATAGTTCTGGCCCCTTTGAGTATAGAGCTAGTGGAACTGAGTTGAGTGCTACCTGTATGCAGGCAAAGAAAACTGCTTTGGGTTGGATATGTACCGAAACACGGTGCTTGTTTTCTTCCTGTTGTAATGAACCACAGCTTTCTGTCACACAACAACTTCAAAAAATAACTGTTGTGTGGTCAGTTGTAGTGGTAGTGGTGTTACCTATATTACTGTGTCACTAGGTACAAAGTTTTATTCATTCCCGAATGAACAATACCCTGGCAAAAAAGCATTAAAAACATTATATTATTATGCGTTCCACTAAAGTACTTGATTATGTGTTGCTTTATAAATTTATTGTATTCAAATTGCTAGCAAATGATTTAAATATGTATATGTATACATTATAAAACGACTTCAAAAAACCAAAATTAAAACGTCAATTTTTTAAAATCTGATTACATGACACAAATGGAATCATCTTGTATCATTACTTGTTTCTAATTGTAAATGCATGTCATTCATTCTCGTATTGATAACTGCAAATATTGAAAGAAAAAAGAAATACAGTAGAGCGTCGTTTATCGTAATCAATTGGGAACTGGGGTTGTTCAGATAACTTATTTTTCGGATAACCAATTATGTACGGAAAAATATATTAATTTATCCCGTGTTGAAATTTTTCTCCGTCGTGTGTCGCTTCACGTTGAATTTTCATCGATGTTAAGCCTAACGAAGACTATTGTATCGTTAAAAATTTTTTTATTTTGTACAAACAAAATAAATATATTGAAAAATATAAAAACAAAAAAAATTATATAAAAAATATATATAAAACAACAATAATTTTTTCAATCTTTTTAAGTTATTGTTACATTATGTTATGTAAGTTAAGTTTTAGTATCATTTCCCTTCTCCCTCTCTTCCTCCACCAGTTTACACCTCCACCGTCATCTATCCTCAAAGGTTGAAGTGCAAATGAAACTATTTTTTTTTTTTTATCAATTATTATTCTATTATGGTTATTTATACATTTACAACTACAAAATGCATTTTTCAATGTTTTCCTTACAATAGTTGTTATTTTTTTAATGTATTACTTAGCTTTAATTTGAGTGTGTTTTTCGTGTTGGAACAAATTATTTGGTTTTACATGTAATCGTATGGGGAAAAATGATTCACCTTACAACATTTTCATGTTAGGATCTCAGTTTCGGAATGGAGTAATTTCATATCCTGAGGTACCACTGTACCAATATAACTCTATCATTGAAAAAATTCACTTATTTTGCTAACCTTGAGTTTTGCTTAGTAGAAATGGATAAAAAGTGCGCAAGATACGTACAGAAATACAGTATTACAGCACCACCTGTCTAAAAGACCACTTTTTGAAGGAACCGTAGGTCGTTGCTATAGACAGGTTGTACTGTATACCAAAATATTGATTATTTTTCCAGAGATCTTGGAATCTAGTTTCAAATTCTTACAATAGATTGTAAGTAAAGCTGCCTATTTTTCAGGATTTACAGGACTGTTTGGCCAACCTATTGAAATACATATAATATTCTCTTTCATTTTGACCTTCCCATATGTTTAGTTTCATTTGGAATGCTGTTATTGTTTGATACATAGTATTGATAAGCAGGGATGCACAACCTTTTGTGAAGAAGGGCCAAATTAGGATTAAGTTTACTGACTGGGGGCTGGGCCTCCAAGCAATTAATGTGATGGCTGAGATTGTATGCTGTTTCTCTTAGTCGTTGAGGTTTTCGGTCGAAAATGGNTATATGTGAGCTCTCTCTCAGAAATACGGGTAACCGGTGAAAGTTGATATGCTAATTAACCGATTGTATATAGCTATTGCGATTGTATATAGTATGAACAATAAACGGGCATTATGTATAGAGAATGCATAGTGTGATTCCTCTGGTTCTCTCGGTACGCCTCCATCCCGGAACTAAAAGTCCACAAACGCGACCGTTCGCGTAACCAAATAAACGGCCAATAAAATTTTTCTGTGTCTACTACAAGACACAGAAAAATCCTGACAGTGGTGTCATCCTGACAGGGCGCCAAAGAGGTGCTGACCCTGCGGTCACAACTTTGTGAAAGGGAAAAGTTCTACACTTAGAAACTTCAAAAGAAGAGATTTGACCTGTACCTTCCGCGGGCCGCATAAACATTGATAAGGGGCCGTATGTGGCCCGCGGGCCGCAGGTTGTGCACTCCTGTGATAAGTATGTTTTCACCTTGGAGATGCAGGTTTAATTCATTTAAATATATAGCCCATAATATGCATATAATTTACAGTGGTAATCATCTTAACTTTTGTTTACATTGCTTATGAGCCTTGCCACACTAGTGCAACAGTGACTGACTTAAAGACAAATGGCTTTAAACGGCTTTAATAGGAAACAGTGCCCAATGTATATTTTTAAAGACCAGAAGTGTGTACGAATGACATCTTGTGATAATTTCTTTAATAAAAAGTATTACAATGCTTTATGAATTTTAAAAAATAAAAAATAAGTACATAAAAATTTCAATGTTTTAAGGAAGTTTATGATTTTATGTAGGGCTGCATATTGGACATCACTTGCTGTCTTAACTGATAATGTTCTAAATGAAATTAATTACAGAGGTCTATCTATAGAGCCTCCTATACACTTCAGAACAACCATGGATGCAGAATATTTTCAGGATACAAAATTTTCCCAGAACATAACTTTACATAAAATATCTCTGAAAATTGTTGCACACTAGCATGCAAAATTAAAAATTTTACAAATGAATTAATAATTACTGTTATTTGAAATATTCTAATTAAATCAAACAAATAAATAAATTAGGTCTACTGTATACATTGCACAACAGTAAACTTATAAGTTTACTGTTGTGCAATGTATAAATTAATGTAAAAAATAATTTTACATTAATTTATCAGTTTAGAATGGAAATAATGCTTTAAGTATCATGGAACAGCATATACAGTTATAAACTTGATTTAATAGGTCTATGTTGATAAAATTGAAGCCAAATGCAACAGCTATTTTTGATGAATTATTAGCTATTCAATTTAAATGATAGTGTAAATGAAGTTGCTATTAAACATTACATCAATATACTTTGCCTCTAAAGGTGTTTTGAAGTAACACCTTTAGAGACTTTAACAGAAAAATACTTGACCACTGGAACTGCTTGAGTCTTCAGAATGCAGCTAATAATAGTTCTTGTAAATTAATTTTAACTGTAAATTAACTTATAAAGTGAACTAGGCAATAGCAATGTGCAGTATTATGATCTAACCATATTTAGAATTATTTATGATTTGTTTTATTTCATTTTAATTACATTAATGGGATTTCTGGAAAGTTGTCAATGAATTTTGTTGGAAAACATTAAGTAAATAGTCAAAATAAATGTAAAAGTTTTACCACTTTTTCATAAAATGTTTTTCTCTATTGGATGAGATAATATATCATCAAATTCTTTTTGATAATTAGGTAGCCTGATACAAAACTATCTTTTAATTACATTGTCTATATGTGTGTTCATGGTTGTGTATGAATACATACATGCATATGCATGCAAAATATATAATTATATTTTTAACTTTTATTTTCTTTGATCAGGGTCGTGTTAGAACTAAGACTGTGAAAAAAGCATCTAGGGTTATAATTGAGAAATATTATACCCGACTGACTTTAGATTTTCATACAAACAAGAGAATATGTGAAGAAATAGCCATCATTCCCAGCAAGAAGCTTAGAAACAAGATTGCAGGGTAAGAACGTGAATATTTTATGAGAGATACAATAATTTTTGCACTTTATTATTTTTAAAACTGAAATACTTATGTTTTAGTATCAGGTGTCCATTAGAATTTGTCAACTATTTTTTCAAATTTCCATGTAAAGGAAATATTTATTTAAATGAACAACAGTATACTGTTTGAAAGAACAACTGTTTAAAATAAAATATACACAGCTTCAGTTACACCTTTATGGTGTACGACATTACTGAGAGTACTGGGCATTGCACATGATCTGAATATAATTTTCTTTAGAAAATAACAGATCCTGGTGATCAACTGCTTGATATTTTTAGCTCTTCAGCATATTTTGTACATCAGGATCTTCAGATAAGCCCCAAAAATTCTTCATAGGCTGCACCTTGAACATTGGCTGAGTGTCATCTTTGACTAGAGTTGATGTTTTCTGCCTCCAGAGCTTCAGGAACAACCTTTGTATAATGAGCATCTGTTTGGTCTGGCCAAAAAATATATTTCCTTTCTCTCATATATTCTGATCACCCTTGCTGATAGTTGAATCTGATTTAGGGAATTAGCCAAGGTTAAATACAATAGTTTAGATTCATTTGACATTGATGGCAAAGCCAGATTTCCAAATTAGAGCTTTGCTAATTCCCTTAATGCAAATGATTTTCTGGGGTGACTGTCAATAGAAGAACTTGTACACTCGGAAATGCAGATCATTTGATTTCGGCACTATTCTGTGCAAAAACAATCCTTTGGAAAATAGGCATAATTCTCCTAACATATAACTCCTTAAGTATAAGTGAAGTTTCATAGTTTTAGTGAATTTTAATCTAGATGGCATAGTTATTTAGTTGTCACACTTAAATATGAAAATGTATGTACATGAGTTTACATTTAAAAAGTTGGAGCGATTAAAAGAAATGAAAAAGTCAAGGGGAGAATTTGACATCAAGGAATATTATATTCCAAATGTTGAAATTTCACTTTCAAAAAACAGATAAAATTCCAAATTATCAAAAATTTTAATATTTATTTATTTGTATTAAAGAATTTGACTGTATTATTTACAAAGAATGCCACTCACACAAGAGGGGATCTATTCCTGACTGCCAGAGGTAGTCGTGAATAGATCCCCTCTTGTGTGAGTGCACCGAGAATTATATTATTGAAGAGCAATAAAATTGATTTTACATTATTCTAGAATTGATGATTTAATTTGTGGTTTTCTTATTTTTTTCTCTAAATTTTATTTGATTAGTTTTGTTACTCATTTAATGAAGAGAATGCAGCGAGGACCTGTGAGAGGTATTTCTACTAAACTTCAAGAAGAAGAAAGAGAGAGAAGGGATAATTATGTTCCTGAGGTAAATTTATATTTATATTTCCAAAAATAAGTAATTTGAGATAAAGTGGAATTTATATTGAAAGAAAATATTTTGTACAGAAGATAAGAGCAAATAGTCATCATCATTCAAACTTGTTCATAAACAAATACTACTACTATTATTACTACATTTATTTTAATATAGAAATTTCATTGAAATCTAATGACATATTAAAAAAGATTTTCACAGATCAAGATGTCTTAGATTAACAGAATTTTATGTAAATATTATTTCAGAAATGTTATATTTTTAAGTAATTAATTTCCATTAATTTAACAGCTCAAATCAAATTAGTTTTTTTTTCCGCTCTTAATTTAGAGGAAAAAATTGGAATGGGCATCATTCCATAAGGATTTTTCATAACATTGTGAAAATGATTTTGACTAAATTGTGATAAATGATATAACATTTTGAGACATTTTTGACTCACTGAAAATTGAATGAAAAAAATCATTTAACTTTTTAAAAGTGATAACCAATTTTCATTTTAACACCAATGAAATAGACTGTGGGTGTTTCCGAGGTGAAGACTCAGACCTGCAAAGGAATAAAGTGAATTCAATGTTGAAAAAATAAAAAATTATTATTGTTATAAGAAGGAAATTAAATTAACATCAATTGATTTTCATTAGAAATATATTTTGAGATGTAACAAATCATAAAAATTCATTAAAGAGAATCTTTATCATCAAACATTTCTCAAGCCTCTACATTAAAAATGTCTTTGTTCTCATCAAATATAGACTTCTTTCTTTCACTGTAAACTTTAATAAACTATTTTTCACTCAAAATAATTCCAAAACCGTCTAGAACTTTCCAAACTCCAAAGTTTTTATTTCTTGCTTGCTTGCAGTTGCACATCCTTTCCTATCTTTATTTCATTAACCGGTTTTCATTTTGTTGTCATCTACATTGAAAGGGGTTCTGTATACACAACGTTAAGAAAATAATTTTTTTTACTCTTATTTTGACCAAGTCAAAAGTTTTAATATTTTAGAACTACAAGTATCTCAGTGTGTTCCATTGTTTGCCACAAATTTGTGCAAGTAATTTTGAGTAATGTCAGCTATTCTAATGTGGGATAAGTTGTCATTTAAATTTCTAAGGCAAGGTTAATCCTACTTGCTTGAATTTATTCTTATTAACCTCATCCTATATAAACTAAATTAGAAAATTATTATTGTGTTTTTAAAAGAGAATGATATTGGATTTAGTATAATATATTAAATTGATGAAAATTTTTTTATATAGCTATTGATTAACGTGACAAATGTTAATGCTTTAAGATTAATTCTTTTGGACAAGCTAGTTTATGATGAGAAAAATTGTTAGAAATTTGCTCTGTTAGATCTAAATTCGTTATTACTGTTATAATCATTGTCAAAAAATTTAATTTGCCTTAATAAATGCTGAAAAGAACACAAATAATTTTCTATGCTTTAATTAATTAAATAGTACTGCATCATATTTTCAATATAGAATTTGTATAACTTAAAGCAGTGTTTTTTCAACCTGTGGGTTTGGGACCCCAGGGAGAAAGAAACTTAAAATATGTAGTTTTTAAAATCACTAACATAGTTTTAATATGGCCCTGGGGGTTGCCAGAATTTAACTTGTAAAGGGGTCGCTTATTCAAGAAGGTTGAAAAACACTGACTTAAAATAATAGAAGCATCTCTAACAAATTATTCTTGATTGACAGTTCCAAATTCTAGAAAAGATTTTGTTTTAATGTTGTATTTAAATGTATTTAGTTGTTGTTATACTTTGAAAGTAACTTTAAATGTAAGAACTGATTACATATTTAGTATTTGTATCAGTATGATTTTATTACACAAAAATTTACATTTAAAAATGATGCATGTTATTTAAGTTTTTGGCAATTAGAATAATTGACCTTCGACATGTTAATTTGTGGCGGATCTGGGGCGGGCGACCTCTGGTCAAATACATTTTTCAAAAGTAATTGGCCCTGTTTCTTACACAACTAATAGAAGTAAACAAGACCGAAGAGTTAAAATCTTTAAATTATTTTGGGTTTTCTTAAAAAAGATTTCACTATTTATGCTATTATTTGTTATAATTTGATCTTTTAATACAGTAATATGAAATAATTCAGAGCTAACAGTGAAATTTAAATGTAATGATCAGAAAAAGAAAATAAAATTGTGATTTTCATAAACGTTTTGAAAGATTAATAATAATGGATTGTTTTGCCTACATTTTTGTTAATTTGGATAAATTTAACAACAAATTAATTAAGAAATGTGAAAACCCAAAATAATGTAAAGATTTTAACTCTTCGGTCTTGTTTACTTCTATTAGTTGTGTGAGAAACAGGACCAATTATGTGACACACACTTTTTAAATTGATCTTTCTAATTACAAAAGGTTTTAAAAAATTTTGATTTTTGGCAAATTGAGCAGCAAACTGCACTATGAAAGTATATTCAATTTTCTAGATGATAATGTTAAAAAATAGATTTTCATTTTTTGTAGGTATCGGCTATCGATTTGGATGTGGTGGAAGTCGATCCCGACACCAATGAAATGTTAAAACAAATGGTAAGTATATTTATTATTAATGAGGCATTGCCGTCAGTATTGATAAGACTGTGCCATTTGTTGTTACAGGATATGACCAACATCCCGGGATTGCAGATGACGTCTCTTTTACCTTTTCCTGGAGCTCCACGTGTATAAAGAAGTGTCAAAATAAAAAATACATGTGAACTACATCCGTAGTTATTTTTTGAAATCGTTTTTAACAAGCATTTTATTCTAAATTTTGAAATTTGTTTACAACTTAATTGCATGTCCTGAGATCTAATTAGAAAGGCAACAACAGTATATTAAGAAATGGCGAATGAGAATCACTTTTTGGTTTGCATAAGATTTTTTAATTCGTATATACATTATACGAGGAAGTTAACAAAAAAGTTTCTAGTTTAAAAAAATGAATTGTTTGCGATGATTTTCAATTAGGTGGAAAGTCGAGTTTTCTTACATAAAATGGTGAAAAAATCTTGTAAAGATAGATTCTAGCTGCAATGTTTCTTGACGGGCAATTTTTTCTATATGTATAAGCTAAGGCAATCGAACTTCTTTTATGTTTTGAAATTTTTTTAAAAAGAAGGCACGAGTCATTGCTATTTGTCAAATCTCCTCCACACTTTGTGATTTTGATGAAGTAGATTCGTCATTGCTACTTTCATGTGGCGATTTATGTTGGTGAAGCTTTTTAGAGAATCCATGGCCATCTCCATAAATATCGACGGCCACAGAGTTTGAAAGACCAGGCGTTTCTTCATAGTCTCTTCCACGTTGTTCAGGCTCTTCTGTAGTAACTGCTTACCTACAACTTTGTAACTTGGTAAGACTGCCTGCAATAAGTTAAAATATGCAGACAAGTCAATAATGGTTTGTTTCTTAGCCTACTCTTTTAGTAGCAATTTATTTTATATAAATATACTATGTCTTCTGTTGCTCTTACCTCATCTAAATGTGGTTTATATATAAGAGCAGCTTTCATCACCACATCACTTGCAACTTGAGTTTCGGATTGCCGCTGGAGAGCATTCAGAGAATAGCCTTTCTCTTTTAAAAATAACTGTTTAACTCTAAAATGTAGAAATGAATATAACGATGATTCTCTAAATTATATAATTTAATCTATTGAAAAAATACCTCGGATTATTTAGTAATGAAGACAATCTATATTTGGGGAGAAAACACGTGACGGCTTGTCCCAGGCCTCCAAAGATATCGTCTGCCTTTGCTCTTTCGTAAGTAGTAATCTAAAAAAAGAAAAGATACTTAAAAATTGCTTCCAGAGGCAGAAATAAAATCCGAATGCTTACCTGCGTGCCATTTATTGTCGTCAGAGACGACCCCAGTCGATAGATGGCATAGAGCCTCCATAACGATAACTCAGTGAGTGGATTTCCTTCTCTTTCGATCGTCAGTTGCTGCAGTTCGGAAATCTGTGCCATGGCATTCAGTTGAGGAAGCGAATAGAGATTGGCACATTCAAAGAAAATATGCTGTGTAATAAATTGAAAAAAAAAACTAAACTGATGTAACATACTTTGCTATATTTACAATCAAATTGCTTTGAATGGAGAAAATTCACAAGACCCAAGGTTATTGGTTGATATAAAATTCAGTCTTAAAAGTTTCTAATTAATTTTAATTTGAAATAAATAAATGCAATCAAAATAAAGCAGTTCTTACCTTACATATTAAGAAAACAAATTGGTTATTTTGACTTTTGCGTTGAACAATTGAGTTAATTGAAATTGAAAACACTATAATTTATGAGTCACTCAAATGAAACTCTACCTACTAGTCATTGGTTGAGTACATTATGAGTAAGGCACTTGTACCTCTTGACACCAGATGTTTGATTCCTTGCTCAGAACTTGGTGGGTTGATGTCTGCACTATTCCAATTCAGCGTCTGATTGAAACTTGTGCCCTTTTGATGCCTCAAGCTCCCCAAAAAATGTGGAAATCACATGGAGACAAGTCAGGATTATGTACAGGATGCTGGAGTATTTCACAAGAGATTCTTACACTATGCGTGCGGTGTGAGAGCGGGCATTGTCATGATGAGGGATGACACTGTGTGAACGCAGACCAGGCCCCTCTGCTTGGACTTGATGGAAGCTCTCAAGTTTTCACGTACCAAGCAGCATTTATGGTGGTTCCACAGGCGGTAAACTACATCAGCAATGAGCCTTTGCTGTTAAAGAAGAATGTCTGCATTCCCTTTGATTTCTTAGGCAGTGGAAACAACATGTATTTCCACTGGGTGCTCTGTCTTTGCTTTCTGGTTGGAAATGAAAGCACCATGTTTTGTCTCCTGTAACAATTCTCTCTATGAAATAATGACCTTTATTGTGGTACCACAGCAAATGTTCCATTTGAACACAAGTCAAAGGCCCTAATAATGAATAATATAAATACTGTTCATTTGTAGGTTGTGGAATATTTTGTCCCATGTACATTAACTGTAAAGTTTCTTTTCTGAATATCAATGTCCGTACTATCCAATACTTCTAGTCTGTGGATCTAGGAAATGAATATCCACCCTGCCATTATGTTCATGTGTTAGTTAATCTCTTGTCAGACATCTTCCATGTATAAACATATTTTCTTTGCCTTGTCATTCAATATAATCATCATCCACAAACTTACTACATAATTAATTGCCTGCTTGTAGAAAGTTCTTTTGACATAGTTTCTATTGTATAATGCAAGTTTGGCAACAGTGCCTACTAATGGCAATTCCATTACTATTTCCTATTTGTAAAACAGGCTTGATATACAATAAGATTGATAAACATTAAATGAAAAATTTCTGAGTTGGCTAAATTCAGGCTTCTTACTCAAATTTTTGTTTTAAATTCCATGACTTTCCCTGACCAACTTTGCACAAATTCCCTGATCCTCACATCCCTTATGGTATGGCACACTGACAAAATAAAACAGCATCTTACTATTCACATATGCTATTGCTTCTCCAATTTTTTAATTAGTTATTTTTACTTTCCTGGCTCTGTTATATATAACAGGAAAGTAAGGCAATCACACAAAAAATGACCCTCCAAGATTTTTATATCAAAATCCTCAAAATGCAAAAAATTTAGGTTTTTTCTATATATATGGATGTATGGGAGGCGCAGTTTTGTTTATTCTCTTTGAAGCTTAATAACTGACTTTTTGTCAAAGTTCTGAAATTTTGCGGAGAGGAGGAATGGGGAGATAAAAGGTGTGTCATATCGCGAATAGGGTTGGACTTAATGATTTACTTGTTATTAACATTTACAATTTTTAATAAAACCCAACCCAACCCTCATAATTAAACTTTTTGCCATTTTATGTAGGCTGTTTTTTTTCAAGATCCGATAGTCCATAAATAAAATTAATTTATTACTGAAAGTCAAAAAATAGCCTTGTTTGTACCTGACATAATCACCGTGAAGATTGAGGAATTTGTTATATCTGTGGTTGAGCTTTTCCATCTCCTTGTCATAGAATGTTGACGCCAATGACTTGAGATGGGCCCTAATGTTTTTTTGAAGATGGTCATTAGTCTCAAACCTATGCCCTCTTTGCCACTTTTCCTGTTCAGGAAAGAGGTGGAAGTCGCTTGGTGCTAAATCAGGGCTATATGCTAGGTGTTTAAAGGTGGTGAAGACTTCCACCCATCTTAAAACTTTTTAATGTGTGAAGACTTCCACCTCTTTCCTGAACTGAAAATGTGGCTAGCAGGGCAGAGGTTTGAGACTAATGACTATTTTCAAAAAAACATTAGGGCCCATCAAGTCATTGGTGGCAACATTCTATGACAAGGAGATGGAAAAGCTCGTCCACAGATATGACAAATTCCTCAATCTTCATGGTGATTATGTCAAAAAGTAACCACGTACCTAACTTTTGGTAATAATTTCATTTTGTTATTTACACTTGTCTTTTTTTTAATGGACCATCAGAGCATTTTGCAATGCTCTCCTCTGGTGCATTTTATAATTCTTCACATAAACAACTAGTGCAGATTAATTTCAAAACTAATATTAATCCGTAAAAGAAGTAAATGTCTATAATAATTATCTGAACATTAAACAAAATTTTAAAAAATTTAAACTCAGACCATATAAATTGTGATCACGTTGTGGTTTTAAAATCTTACAAAATAATCTTACAAAACAATAGCATAATAAATCTGATGTAAAAGTTAAAATTACTTCATTTGATATAGTTGAGCATAGTTTTAAAAAACTGGATCTTTAGGTAACAAAAAGAAGAAAAATTGAATAGCACTTGTGTATTCTTTACATTTCTATTATAAACATCCCACACATTAAGTCAACATTTCATCATAAGTTTTAATATTCTTAGTTTCAACAGTGTATCTTTATTTAAATTGTAAGAGGAAAACTTAAAGGCATATAGTTAATATAGTTTTTGAAAAATTTGAAGTACAAAATCCCCATGCAAAAACACAGTGTTTCTCAAACTTCATCTTCCAGTAGAGCCCCCTTAAAAGAAAAATTATACTCTAGTGAGTTTGCCAAGAGTTAATTAAAATGGATATGAAATAGTAAATTATTTTAAAAAGCATGTTTTTGTTTTAATAAAGGTAAATATTGCAAGAAGTTTTTAATTTCACAATATAATATGCTGCTATCAACTCGAGGATCCTTGCCAACACATTCGTAGACATACAGAGATCTGTGGATCGCACATTGAGAAATCTATCTGAATTATCTCAAATACCTGGAAATGAAACACCACAATGAAAGCATTGTCTGAAAACACTGAAAATGTTTACAATTATAACAGATAAGGAAAGTAGTTAAGCATCTCAGGACATATAGATTTGTATTGCTTTCTCCCATTACACTTGGACAATCTGTCAAGAAGAGATGCCTCTGAGGAGGACTTTTTATAGGAAACTGACCCTATTTAGGTATTAGATACACAAAGCAAACCAGAAAACTCCATATGGCCAGCCCACTGGCAAGGTGCAAACTCATGACTATCATTGTTTTCACAATGTCAGATATGGTAGCTGTTACATACGAAATTGGAATGTATGTCTCTCTAATCTGAATAAATACAACATGGTAGACTTCCTCTCAGCTATCAGGTTAGGTACTCCTTTATTGCAATTCACAAATGCATTTCGGGCTTATACAGTATCTAAGCCTCTCCTCAGTGTAAATGCTACATATATTAAAGGAACAAAAAAGACTCATTATAGATTTTTGTTACTCAATACCTTACAACTTAGAAAACTATATCAAAAGACAATTAAAAACCATAGAAGGTTCTGAAAATAGCATAAAAAAATGCAGATGAAGCCATACATAATAATCAAACAATAATAAAAGGAAAAATTGTTATGTTAATAAGCTTAGATGTCAAGAACATGTATCCAAATATAAAATGGAATCTAATTGAAACAAGACTAACAGAGCTAGAGGTGGATAAAACATTAATAAATCTTATTAAATTTGCTTATACCAATAATTATTTTGAGATAGACAGTAATTTTTACCAACAAATCGATGGTGTTAGTATGGGTTCGAAGATGGGGCCAAAACTAGCTGAATTAGTTATGAAAAGCAGATAAAAAAATACAAAACATTCCAGGTGTGAAAATTGTAATATGTGGATGATTATTTAGTAATTTACAATAATAAAATAACTAATGATAAGATAATATTAGGTAAGATAAATAATATAAATGAAAATATAAAATTTGAGATTGAATTAGAGAAACATAACCAAATAAATTTTCTTCACATTGAAATAACTAATGAAATAGATAAATTCTCATTCAAAACATAAAAAACCATGCAACGTAAATAAGACCATTAACTATCATGCTTACACACCTAAAACCATAAAAAAGAATGCATACATGATGGATATAAAAAACATATACCAGAACTTCTAATAACACTGATTGTAAAATGGAATTAAAACAATTAGATAAAAAGTTTACCTTGAATAATTACCCCATGTATAAGTTAAAGAATTGGCATAAACAGTATTATAAAAATAGATTTAATACTAAATATAAAATCGATAAAACTTATAAATCTTTCCCTTATATTAATGATATACATAATAATTGTAGTAAAATTTTAAAAAAAGAATGTAATTTTGGCCCCATCCTTAACCAACAAAATTTCACACAACATCCATTTCAATAATATAACACAAAAATAATGTAGAAAAATGTAAAAAAATCAGGTGTCATTTATAAAATCAGTTGTAATTGTCAAAGCCCAAAAAATTATATAGGTGAAACAGGTAGACAATTAGAATTAAGAATTAAAGAGCATGAAGCTGCTATAAAATTAAAATACAATAATTCCCCTTGGTTTAATCACACAAATAACAGTAATTGTCAGATTGACAGAAGCAACATAAAAATACTTCATTATGAAAAAGATATATATATAAATGTAAATTCAAGGAGCATATTGAAATAAAATATAGTAGATAAATTCACTAAATTATTATTAATGGTATGCAAATCGATGAACAGTGGTATAACATGATAGAGGGTGTGACTAGAAGAAATAATTTGTAATAGTGGTGTCTTGTAAAGTTTGCTAATGTAATACTGTGGATAAATGTAAAGAAAGCCATTATGTATGTATAGTATTGTTTTTTAAAAGGTGTTAAATCATTTACTTATAACTTGTAAAACTATTACTTTAATTGCAGTTGTTTTGATAAAGTTTTAAAGAATATGCCTTAGTTGTTTAAAAAAAACCTTGCATGATATGGACATAAGTTGGAAAGTATCATGTTGTTACTATAGTGCTGTTTAAAAAAAGTAGTGAAAACATTAAGTATGTATAGTTTTTTTTTTTTTTAAATTGTTAAATCATTTATATATAACTTGTAAAACTGTCACTTTAATTGCAGTTATTCTGATAGCGGTTTAAGAGATATGCCATGGTTTAAAAAAAATACCTTGCATGGTATTGTTATAAGTACAAAAATATCAAGTTGTTACTATTGTAATATTTTTATGGAAAAATGTATATCTATGGATTTTAACGTCAAATTTTATTGTATGTTTGTACTTGGTCACCAGATACACACTCATGTTTTTTAGTTTTTTAAAAAAACAGCTAAGTGTACCAGTATAATTTGAAAAGCACTGATCTGCCTTCTGAGGTATATAAAAAGTTATTTTGTCTGTAATGATCATCTTCATGCGTAAAAATTGGTGAATTAACTAATTTTTTGTTCCTTTAATATATGTAGCATTTACACTGAGGAGGGCTTAGATACTGTATAAGCCCAAAATGCATTTGTGAATTGTAATAAAGGAGTACCTAACCTAATAGCTGAGAGGAAGTCTACAGTGTTGTATTTATTCAGATTAAAGAGACATACATTCTAATTATCATTGTTTTATCCACTTGGCCATTGACTGGCTAAGCTGGTAAGGAAGCCAGTATTAATTACCAGGGCCCAGAATCAGCTTGTTTTAAAATTCTATGTAAATTTATAATTTTTTGAAATTACTTAATGTTTTATCAAATTATTTAAATTGTAATTTTCCCTTTTAACTTTTTAAAATAATTTAAGTGCCTTAGAAGTTAGACAAAATGGCCATGGCAGGAAAATAATTTCAATAATACAAAAATTTTCATGCCAAATCTGAAAATTTCCTTTTTAAGGTATTTTTTGATGTTCATTACTTTAATAATAAAGCTGATTCTGTCTTATATCATTTAATTAACTTCTCAAAATCTTTGGTGGAAAGATCATCAAACTCTAATTCTTGCAATTTAAATTACTACTTGTTTGCTGTTCTTCATTTCCTCAGTTTTTCTTCTATAAGTGGCTGCTTGGGTGGCCAGACAGATGGGGCAGGTGGAGCAGACAAAAAAATTACTCAAATTGTAAGTTATGGACTTGTGTACACTGAACAAGACTAGTTGCATTCTTGAGGAGGCAACATTTCTGCCCGTCTGCCTCAAACCATCAAGGTCACTAACTCAGATGACCAACTATTAATCTGCACTCTAGCACTCCACTTAATCACAGAAATTGCCCCCTTTTTAATTAATTAAGGGAAGCACAGATTCTTTCCATTTCTTTTATTAGTTTTATTAATTGAAAAAACAATTAATGCAGATACAACTTTACAAAGAATTATAAAATTTACAGCATTCTCTTCTAATAATTGGCAGCTCACTACCATTAATTCCTCATGGATGTTATTCATAGCAAAAAAGTACCCAGTTTGAATACTTTCATTCTTGCACATTTGTTCTCTCTTTCATGGCATATTGTCTCTTCACGTCATTTACACATTTTGTCTCAATTTCGACAGCAAACAAACATCCATATGTGCCTCCTTACTAGCTGAAACATATGCACAACCTCTTAAAACAAGCACATCAGAGCCATGGCAAAGAAAGTCAAGACTGACAACTAGCATCTATACACACCATAGGACCTCACTGCATGGCAACAGATGTTGTAAACCCCAGTCCTATGAGAGATTGTAAGGGCCCTTGTCTGAAGGGCTGACAACATACATAGAAGCAAGTATGGTCTTTTGCATAACACACTGATCTCACCTGTGAACTAAAGTAGACTTGCATCCACCTTTTCCATGGGCAGTGTACTGTACCTTCAAAGGCTGGTAGGTTGAATCTGTAGTGCCAACAGACACCAGGAACCCATCCTTAGGATTATCAGAGGCCTTTGTCCAATGGACTGGTGCACGAAGTAATGAGAGATGGTCTAATACTTTATTCTTTTGCTCTAAATTCTGTTTGATTTGCCATGTGTACACACTGATGCAATTCCATCCAGTCCTCAGCCTGTCCTGTTTGCCTGTCCAAGTATGTGCTTATCCTTAATAAACATTTCAAGCATTTAAAGCCAAATGACCAAATGATAAATTTAATATTTATCAAGAGATGGCACCTATCTCTAGGACAAATTACTTGACATTTAATTATTAGATAGTAGCATTATTACAGCCTGACATAATCTGGCAATTGTTTGGCATTAATCTAAAAATCAGGTTAACAGATGTTTACATTTGTATTTTAAGCATTTTTGTACAGGGTATATTGGAGTAAAATACTTTTACATAGATGTAACCATAACACCATACCATAATTAATAGCTTTGGAAGCAAAATTTAAGAGAGCGGGACAAGTAATATAACTGGCAACACATCTGCATGTTAAGCAGGAGTTGCATGTTCAAGTCCTCTGGATCAATCCTTTATTCCAGAATAAATTAATTTATTAACTTTATCATGAGATGGCAGATTAACTGCCTACCTCTTGTCAAATTGCTTTATATATGATTATTAATTTTGTCATATTATTTTTTTTTTATCAGGCTACATTGTTAAAACAATTATCTTCTAACAATGAAACAGCAATGCCAGTCTGGCATTTAAAAGGTTTACATAGAGATCATCTGATTATTGGGAATCCTAGAAAAGTGATTCTATGTTTTGAGGAGACTGGAACTTTTCATGTGAAATCAGCATATGGGTTGCAAGCCCATTGAACATATGATAAAAGATTTTTTACTGCAGTAGTGGAGCACAGAATGCAAAATTCTCATGGCAGCAATTAAACATGCCCTATGCAACAGTGTGGAAAGTTCTGTAAAAATTTGTGCATTTTTATTCACACAAGATATTCCATAGTCAACTAGTTTCTGTTGATAAAATTTATGTAATACAGTATATACATTAAGGAGATAGCAGCACCAAATTTCATTCTACAGGCTAAATCAGGGTTTGCAAAAGTGGTTGATATAACATTATTGGGGGGGTTGATTATCAAGCTTAAGCTAAGGATCAAGCTTATCCATCTTAGTTATTGTCAGTTACAAAAATTATTATTAACAAATATACAATAAATGAAAAAAAATGCAAAATTAAAAGAAATGTATTAAAATAGTAAGTACTTTGTTTTGCTTGTAACACAAACTTTTTGATGGGGGTCGATGTGAGGGAAAACTTCGAGGGATTTCGAAAACTTGTAGCGGGTTGACAATCAAAAAAGTTTGCCGATCCTTGGGCTAAATTTTGAACTAAAATTTTTTCTCCAAAACTTGAAACTGCATGTGGCGACAGTTTTGGCGATAAACCCCAAAGTCGCCACAAGGGGGAACCCCTGACCTGACCTATGACATCACACACATTCTTGTTGGATTTTGGACCTTGCAGACGCATGTAGTAACACCTTGTGTTTTAACCTGTACAGTCGCGCCATAATTCATATGTAGAATAAATGATAATCTTTTATTGTATGTGGCCCTGTTTGTAATGAGTAATTTCACACGAACTGGTGACCACACTGCACACTCAGGATTTATTTGTGTATCAAATTTAATTGAAATTTACCAAGTAGTTCTTTCTACAGAATGCTCTGAACTTTACTCTTTTAATTATGATTGACCTGTATTTTGTGGATTATAACGTAGTCACTGTTAAAACTAAAAAACTTTCCACCTTAAGAGATTTTATAATTTTGTTTTTTCAGCACTGGAAATGGAATTCTAGTATATAATGTGCAATACTATTGTTTAAATTTTGTACCCAATTTTAGGAACTTATTACATCCAAAAGACAGGATGGTCTGTGTATCAATTGTACTTTCCCTCTGGTATACTTATATATATATATATATATATATAACAGCTAGTAAAGTATGTTGATTGGTCAAAAAGAATGACTCATTGACCAATTATTGACTTTAAACATATGTTTATTTACTTTTTATAATTTATATGTATGTAAAAAATTCCTCTATTAATTAGACAGTCATCAATTACCTTGCAAAAATTTTAATTATTTATAATTCTTAGTAAAGAGAATTGAAATCTGGAACTTAATGTTAAATAGTTTTTTAGAAAAAACAAATCATAAAATAAGTTCACTTTGAAGGACTTACTGATATATTTGGAAACTGTGTTTTCATTTGGCCCAAAAATGGTGCAATACTATCAAATAAAAGAAAATGGAAGCCCACTGTATGGATTGTAGGTATTGTATCAGGATTCCAGGAATGCTGAAAAGCGGCTACAACGGCACCCAAGCCGTAAAGTTGTAATTTTCCATCATCAATTTCAGCCAGGTGTGTGAGATGAGTATCAGATAATTCTTTTTCAGAAGTGATTATATTGTCCATAGCTTTTCTGTAACAAAATAATTACTTTTCATATATAAAAAATTGATTTTTTGAACTTTTATTTTATATAAAAGATCATTACCTTAAAGACTTCTTTTCCTGATCTTTCTTTGATTTTTGCCATAATTTTCTTGTACGCCTTCGACAGATTGTACCTGCAAGATGATTCAGAATGGTACCTCCACAAAAATCACAGGGCAAACCTGAACCATCACTGAAACAAAAACAATATTTAAAGAAAAATCTATTTAAATCTTTTCCAAGATAAATGTTACCAATTAAATACCAGAATGTGCATTGTCCATCTTCTTCGTCATCATCTCCACTTTGATATTTTGGATGGAAAAAAAGTAACTGTGGTGTGACAGATGAAACCATACAGGGGAGTGAGCTAATTTGCATATTGGCATGTTTTTCTCCTTGTTCTTTCATGATAGAAAACCATTGCTGACGAGCATTTGTAATTGCTCGCTCTTTTGCTTCCTGAAATAAATTTTTAATAAAAGTTTCTGATTAATATTATTAATAATCGACAATCAGATATCATCTAAATATAAAGGGAATTCATATTCCATCCATATTATGAAGACAATTGGAAATTTGTGATTAAATTATGCAATTTGTTTACAAGTTTGAAAAATTAGAATTATGATTTCATTTATGCAATTATTCTGATAAGTATATTCAATGTAATTAGCAAAATCATCAACTCTCTTTTATAACTGATTCACACCTGTTACAAATTTACTGTTTTCTGACAGATAGCAGTGAAATGTGCAACACATGTGAATCAGTTATAAAAGAGAGTTGATGATTTTTGAAATTGGGCTACTGTTTCTATAAACTGGATATTAAAACTTTTGTGTATAACTTGTATATTTTACTATTCATCTTTGACTTACAATTAATGCAATGAATATTGGCTATTTTTGAATATAACAATGAAACAGTCCAAAAGTGGGACATTTTTCAAACAATTTAAAAATTGAAATTGTCACATCTAATTTGGGACATCTGGTCACATTAAGCTTACATTTATTAACCTCTTGGGAAAAGATCCCTAATAGTTTAAAAACCTGTATATTTATGATTAAATGCACAGCTTTGATCATTTATGCTTATTATTCCTCATTACAAATATATCTTTGTTAACAGATTGATTCTGACAACACCAAAAGTAATTCAACAAGATGTTATTAAACCAGGCATCAATAAGGTCAAGAATCCTTTGTTTTATAAATTTATAGATTCTGTGAAATTGATGAAAGATACATAATCAAGAATAACATATAAAGATATTCTTTTCTAATTAAATGGAAGGAATAGGACACATGGTTCAGGATTTTATATTTCTTACCTTTAACCAACTTGTTTTAGCTCCATCTGGAGCAACCAAGATCAGTCTATTCAGTAGTATAGTTGTAAATATAAGCTGACTAGGTTGGAACTAAGTATTTTAATGATGTTAACATTATTATTTTATTAAGAATTCNATGTTTTTATAGCTATTTAATTTAATGCTTTTATAATGTCTTTTATTAAAAAAAATTGTATGACTTTTTTCGGGGAAAATTTTCTGCATAAACCAAAAAACTAATTTTCTCTTATAGATAAAATATTCAAATTTTATGATTTTAGATAATTACAGCTATTGAATTCGCTCTGAAATATTTATAAAGCTTTATATTACATGAATTTTTAAACGTTTGTTCAGGTGTTAGATTTTATTATTATTATCATTAATTCTCACATAAATTAAAGTTTTATAGTAAAAGTGTAAAGTTTAGATTCTTCTTCGTCTCGTAACAGTGGGATAAAGAAGAAGACAAGAGCAAAATTGGAGAGGTCAAAAGTCATCTATATACATGTTATACTAGAAAGAATACATACATGGCAAATAACCATGCTTATCAGAGTTTTGTGTTTCAAATAAACAACAGTGAAGAATGAGGTGTACGTGAAAGTTAGAAGCTAAAAGAAACATTGACGGATAGTACAGGTTAGAAAAAAGACAAGGGTGTGTTTTTTTGTCACGGTAGTCTTTTCACCTGTCGTACTCGCTTTCTGTCATTCGAAGAGTTGAGGGCACGAAAGCGATTGATTGCTGATGTCTGGTGAAAAGATACTTTCCTTGGAAACAAAACATATCGAGTTTCTACAGTAAATATTTATTTTTACTTTTCTCTAGTTTGTTTCTACAGAATTGAGATGCGAGAAATAGAAAATTGTTCTTTCTTCTACGCACCATCTCTACCATCGAATCGAATTCACTCATGAATTTGTCATAATCTTCCTAGATTTCGGCTTAAAAAATCAAATATTTTATCTTGATATATATATAGGCTTATGTTTGTCTTTCTGAATATAGATCGTAAACGATGGAGAAAATACCATTTTAAGATGAAACAAATACTTTCTTCCTTAATTGCACAGTAGAAATTCTGTAGAGGAATGCGAGTGATATTCATTGGAAGGAAGATTAAAAAAAGAAGCAAGAAGGAAGAAAAAAAGATAAAGGAAAAGTAGGAATAGTAGAAGTAGAGACTCATTCCTAAGGGATATTGCACAGTCCAATATTATTTTTTATAGATAAACCTTCTCTTCTCTGATGGAAGAAGATTCTATTCAATAATTACAATTTTTTTCTATGATTTCTTTTGTGTTGCTTTTACTTTTTTAAAGCAATTGTTCTATCAAATTTTTTACAAGAAAATCAAACACATATTTTTTTCTTTTACAGTTTAAACTATTATATAAAAATCACAAATATAAATGCAATAAATTTAAATGCAAATATGCAAAGAATTATGAAGAATTTTCTACAGATAACAGAAGAACTTTAGTACTATTCATTTTGCAAGTTTTATGAATGTGGTTTGGTAGATTCTTAAAAATACCACTACAGTATTTTGATATTTCATTCTTGAGTACTGTTCTTTTAAAAGTTCATTATGCAGTACTAAAAATTAATTTTTGTATTTTATTATTATTTAAAAATAAAACATTTTCAATAAAAAAAATGTTATAAATGATGTTTGAACTATAACATTATACTAATATGATGATTTTGTATTTATATTAACCCTCTAGATATCTTCATCTGTTTGAATACCTTTGATTTTACTTACTAAAAATTATGTGTTGTTACTTAGTCCAAAAGAATTTATGCACTAATTATTACTTCTCACTAAAAATAAATTATTAATATCTTTATTGACTAAGTATTACCAATATTTGCTGAATAGTTGCAAAATTATTACAGAAAAGTGTGATTTGTAAGCTGTATGCAATCTGAAGATACAGACTCTGATATAACTAACTCTACTGGCAGAGAAATTTTAAGAGGTATTTTTTTTTTTTTTATTAATAGGAGGTTTAAAAGCTTTCATTTATTCAAAGTTTATTTCTCCAAGTTTATAACAGTTATTAATTTAAGAGTATAACTAAATAAGAAAGTCATATAATTTGCTTACTGATTACACTCATGGACTAAAACAAGAGCCATATAAATCTCCAGAAAAATTAGATTGCTGGGTTTATATATTTAAGCATTGATACAAACTATTTAAAAAAGATTTAGAGAAAACAAAATCTGTATGAAATTTTTAAAACTTTAATGTAAGTTTTAAAATAATTATTTTTAATTCTTAATATTATAAAAAATTCTGACTTGACTACAAAACAATTTTAACTATGTGATTCAGTCAGTAAAGAATCTGCAAAGTTATAAAGTATTAGTTAATATTGTTTTTGTAGAAACTTATTTTTAATACATACACAAAACTAATATTCAATGTTGATAATAGCATCTAAGTAAGTAATGTAATATACTGTAAGTAATTTAATTATAATTTCATTATAATTAAATTGGATTTTTCGTGTAAGTTACAAGTTCACACTTGAATAATATATAGTCTGCTTCAGTTTTGTCCACTACAAATGGTTTAGACCCATTTATAATGGAAAATTAGCATAGATAAGAGATTAGTTATCTATGACATATACTAATTGGTAAACTATTCATGATAAATTATAGAGTTTGAATCAAAATCCTTTACGACAATATTCTTGCAATAAGGAATTTTTCCTGTCTCATAATTTATTTAATTACAAGTTATTTCACTATTCATAAGGAAAACAATATGAAAAATAACATTAAATTGCATTCCAATCAATTTAGTACTTTTAATTATTGCTCAAAAAATACTAAATTTCCTGTTTCAGATTATCAATTATACTAAATTCTATAAAGAACTCTATTATTTTATTTTTAATTACCAATTAAATTATTTTAGACATAATAAGAGTACAAACAAACAAAATCAAAATATAAAATGTGATCTCTCCAGTGTAAACTAACTGTTTTTGATTCACAGAATAAAACTACTACTCTCATATCTATGTAAACAGAGGATCCTTGACAAGAATTTAAACAAAAAAATAAAATCGCATCCATTATAAAATATTAACTTTTGAATCCATTGAAAAATTAATCATGACATTGGTATCATTATAAGATTTACTGCATTATATAAAACCACAATTATAATTCAAATTAGAAACTTTTAATTTTGATTAAATGACAGCTGGAAGGCTGAGGTGACAAAGGCATTAGTCTGCCACTTTGGGGACAGGTGTCAACTCAAAGAATTTTTCATGGGCAGTCTGTATCAGTTATGTTGGACCTTAGCCTGTAGTGAGGACTTTATTCCTCACTACAGGCTTCCCCATTCTAGGCCTGGCCTCAAACTCATGATGTGTATGATTAATTAAATGTCCATAGGACAGAAAGAGTAAAAAATACAAAGGATAAAAAAACTGATGTTAAATTATTTTAGGTTCATGTTATTTTCTAATTTTATTTATACTGTAAATAAGTAATATTACTCTCACCTTTATTTTTGCAATTCTTATACTTTCTTGTTTTTTAAGTTCTTCTTTCCGTACAATTACTTGTGCAGTACGTTTTTCTTCATCCTGTTTGTAAGAAAATTTCATATATCTAAAATAATTATTAAAAAAGGTATACTAAAAACTGGACTGATTTACCAGAACACGTTTTGAATCTAAAAATTTTAGATGTGGAAATCGAAAAATCATCATATGTCGATAGTGTGGACGCTGAGTGATGGGACAATTTTCAAATGATAATTCAGTTAACATAGGCACATCTAACAAATCTTCAAACCTAAAATTTAAGAAAATTATATTATTGATTATGAAATAAAACTAAAGTTTAATTTAAACATTCTTACCTGTCAATGCAATTATGACTTAAAAATAATCTCTGCAATTTGGGAAGTAAATCTACTTCTTCCTGTAAGGTTCAAAAACCATGTACTTTCTACTTATTAATTATTAAATATTTTTTATAACAAAAAAATAAAATAAAATAAATAATTAATTTATGTTACAATACTCACCAAACACGTCACATTATTTTTGCTTAAATTGAGTTCAATGAGAGATTCCAAGTCTCTCACTCCTTTAATTCTATCAATCAGGTTACTTGATAAATTTAATACATGTAATTCTTGAAGATGTTTGAGATTGCATATTTCACATATCTACACAAACATAAATTGTACACTTATACTTTACAACACTTTAAATCATTTTAATATATTAAAACATCTTTTAATAAATGCTTTTAGGGTCATGTTTTTTGAGACTGGGAGTGAGGAAGATGGGTTGGAGCAGGGCCACAACACCATATACATCACTACAATGCATTTACACACACACACACAAAATTAAATTCTACATTTGGTTATGTTTATTGAGTTTTGGAATGGGAAATGTGGTGGAGTGGGGCCACCCCCTAAAACATCATTAAAATGTATTGTGTGGCTGTATGCCATAATTTATATTTTCTAACATTAATTTCTTTTCCCTTATCTTTTTCCCCATTTCCTTCTATTATCTGAAAGCTGTCTTTCTTCTTTGCCTGTAGGGTAGTCCACTCCAATTCTGGAATAGAGCCCTCTTTTGTCCAAGTAAGAATAAGTTTGATGGGTTTCACGGTCAGTTTAAAAAGGAAAGAAGGAACCGTGAAGGGACACCTTTTGGATAGAAGCTGAAGAGAGAGGATGTTTGGCCTGGTTTAGTGGTCAGTGAGAGACCTTTGCGGTCTGAGAAGCTGAGAAGATCAAACACTTAGGGCATTGTGGAATTTTGGAAGTTCTTTCGAGATATGATAATGTCTCCATTCAGGTTTTTGATAGAAGAATATGTTTCAGAACATTTTCTTCTATCATTATTTTGCAGAAGGCTAATATTATAAATAAATAGTTTTATGACATAAAAAGTATCCAATGTATCCAATAATACTACTGGAAAAATCTCTTGATCTAATATGAAAATTCAGACTAATTTTGTAACGGAAATAAACAGTAGCAATTTAATATTTATCATTTATACCGGATTTTTACTTTTGTAAATCACAAAAAATAAAACACAATTTTAAAGAAATCAAATATTATCTTAAGAATTGTTTAAATAAAAAATAGTCTTTTAAAAAAAATTGAAGACTAAATACAAATAAATATTTGATGACTTCACTTATCCTTTACAACCACAGGAACACAGTTAACTTGAGCAGAGTTGACCTTTCTTTTGAGGCTCTACTCTGCTTATGAATATGTAAATTGATTAAAAGTCCTGCTAGCATTGTATTCCTGTAAAAATATTTTTTGAAAAACTTTTATTTGCATTTACTCTTCAATTTTTTAAAAATATATTTCATCAAAAATTGAAGAATAAATACAAATAAAAATTCTACATACATCCTTTACAACCACAGGAACAAAATTAACTTGAGCAGAGTTGACCTTTCTTTTGAGGCTCTTCTCTGCTTATGAATATGTAAATTGATTAAAAGTCCCTCTGACACTAGATTCTTGTAAAAATATTTCTTGTTATTTGCTAATGTTAATTGTGTTCCCATGATTGTAAAGGGTGTGTGAAGACATCAAATTTTTATTTGTATTTAGTCTTCAACTTTTTAATAAAAAAAATAATTTAAGAAACAACTTTGTTTGAATTTTGAATAGTCAGAATTTTAATTGTTGAATTTATTGACAGAACAAGATTTGAATCCAAAACTTAATTTCACATAAATATTAGTTTCTTTAATTTCTACACTATTACTAAATAAATTTTGTATTTGTAATAAATCTTACAAAAGTAATTAAATTATTTTAACTTAACAATTATAATTCTTTTTTCTTGAGTTTTGGTTTTGAGTTAAGAATTAAGTGATAGATTTGGATTTTTATCTTGTAAACAAACACTTTAGTGTCCTGGAAATAAGGTCATTTTTCTTTAACCTTTCCCACATTTTTAGTAGTGCTACAAACATGTCATTCTAATTAACTAAATGTATTTTCACATTTGATTATATTTAATTTATTACTATTAACAGTTAACACATTGCACAATATGAAAGTACTAATTTGATTGCTCTTTCTCTTCCTTAATTCATTCTCTTGAAAATTATTACCCAAATGAAAAAATAATCTCTCTTTACTATTACTTTTTTGTAGTTCTTACATTTATGATGATAAATCTCACATTACATTTTACATTTTCTAAAATATTTTTTTTATAATAAATTTAATATAATATAATGCCATAATATNTTATACCCTGAGGGTTACACACCTTCCCCTTTGTTACACAGGGGTCACCTGCTGTTACACCGTTAAACAAAAGTAGGGAGAAACTTCCAGAAAGAAAGACAATAGAAATGAAGACAAAGGGAAATGTATTTAATAAAAATATAAACTATAACTATACAATTATGGCATGTAGCCACAAACACATCCCAGTGTTTTGTGGTGTAGTTTAATAAGAGTGGTTAACCAATGGAAAACAATTGTAGTGAGTACGAATCACCAAGATTCAGACTCAACGTTGGTGAGGAGTACAAGGCTGTGTGAAAGTTTAGAAGGTGTAAGACAAAGTATTACAACCAAATTATGAGGAACGAACAGTTTATTATCAAAGTTGCTAATTAACAGGATACCGGTTGAAAAGTTCAAAAACTATATACTTTTTGCATTTTAAGTATTTCTTTATGACCAAAAAGTAATGTATATTTATAATACTCATTAACAAAACAATTTATTGAATAACACATAATTGAAAATAAATTTTTTTCGTTTAAAAAATTTCATTCTTTATTATATTAACTAGCATTAATAATATTAAATTCATTGCAATATTTAAAAATAAATAGATTATAAAAAACTTTTTTAACATATTAAACAAAAATCTAAACTCTTACTTCATTCCCACTCAAATCCAGAACATCTAAATGGATAAGACTCGTCAATCCTTCAATCGTTTTTATTCTGAAAAATTTGTAAATTCATATAAACACAAATACAGTTATTTGATTATTAATACATAAAAATTAATCTTTGTTTCCAGAATATTCTAACTTAATTAATTTCTAATTATTAAATTTAACACAATTAGATGCCTTAGTCACCTACTTTTAGTTCAAATTATGCAACATTTTTATAATAAATTAGTTATATTATAGCCCAATTAAAATCTAACAGTATCATCTGTTTAAAAAAAACTTACAATTGTAAATGTGCATAAGATTAGGAAGGAAATTAAAAAGTTTATCTTTGACACTGTTCTCTCCACATCATTTGGCTATTGTTCTTCACTAGGTAATGAAGGGCAGTGGTCAAACAATAAAATGGATGTTTGTTCATCGAAACTTTTAAAATAAAATTTTGTTATAATGTTAACTTTTTAATTGAGTAATAATCTACAGTCCTGGAAAAAAATTTGAGATCAGGATCAAAAATTCATATTTTCAACATTCTAAAATACAATAAACATTGTAACCTAATTTTCATACATCCATATTGTGTGTTTCAACCTTCAGTAAAAATGGGATCTGATAAAACATTAACAGATGAAGAAAAAGCCAAGATATATGCATTCAGAGACTGTGGGAAATTGTGTCATTGCAAGCCTACTAGAAAGGCTAAAGATGGCAGTTCATAATTACTTAAAGTACCCTGACAATTATGGCAAAGCTAAACATTGTTTTAGGCAAAAAAAACTTTCCAAAACCCTGCCAGAGATGACGGCAATATTGAGAATAACTACATTCTCTCGTATATCAGTTAGTTAGATTGCACCAATCAGGACCCACAAAATTCCCGCTCCTGTCAGGTGACAGGAAAGGGTTATTAGCAGAAGGAAGAAGGAGGAAAGGAAAGAACAAAGGAATTCTAAATCTATATACAGTATTTACATAGACAAAAATGGCAGACAGCCACAGCTGTACAAAAAGAAATATTGAATGAATACAATTTAAGGAAGGGAATTATATTTATATCATGCAGAATTCAATAATTAATACACTAGTACACTAGTTACTAAGATTACAAAAGAACCATTATGCTTATTAGCCTAATGGTGATATTTACAGTATATACAATGGTGAGTATATGTTGAGACCACTGGCACATTCATTCAATCTTGTTCAATCCAAACAATAAAAAGGCAGACAGGAACAGGCACACTATACACGAGTATGAAATATTTTGTTAATCTTCCTTTCCTAATCAACAGTTCTTCCACTCTGGACTCAATCTTCTTCTCGGTGCAAACGGATTCTCCCTTCTATCCAAACCAAAGAGTCCAGTAACACCAACAGCAATGAGATATTTTCTGAAAAAGTCTGCAAAACATGAACAACTGCATAAAATGCAGGAATAGCCAAAATTGACCTTTCATATAGAAAGGCAGCTGGACTTTGCAATGTGTTATGTTGGCCTTTCAGATTTATGGAATTGCACAGCTTTTAGTGATGAAAAGAAATTTAATCTGGCTAGCCTTGATGGTATGTGATACTATTGGCACCAACCTCATCTTTTACCATATCTTGTAAAAGGTAGAGGATCCGTGATGGTTTGGGCAGCTTTCACTCATCAGTTAAAATCAGCTATTGCTTTCATTTTACCTCATTCAAAGGCAGCTGACTATCAAGATGTGTTGGGAAATTATCTTCTACCATTAAAAGATGAAATAATGGATGGACATTTTATTATCCAACAGGATAATAAAATGCAGACTCAGAATACTCCTATTCATAATGTTGCCTGAACTATGACATGGTTGTCTGACAGTAATATCAATGTTTTTCCTTGTCTATCATGTAGCTGGATTTTAAATCCAGTAGAAAACCTTTGAGGTGATTTAATAAGAGTGCTGCACTCTCAGAACCTATAACCAGTGTGATATAAAAAAAGCAAAACATGTGTTTAACATGTGAGATAAGCGCGAATACCGGAGACAAAGAAACACAACTTTTATGATATGAAATTCTTTAATTCGCGCACAGAACACCGGAAATGTGGTTCGGATGCCAGCTACAATCTCTACCCTCGAACATTTAATTAATTTCTGTAACAAAAAACTTTACGGACCAGTTATATAACGCGACAATCTCGTAGTTTAATAACTATACTACTTATATACTATACAATTATACCTTATAACTAAGCTTACGGCTAATTATTATATTCTGAAGATGAAAATTAGGTCTAAGGTAAGATATGAATTGAAATATAAAGATGAGAGAAAAAGGAAGTCGGGTACCCAATGATTTCGGTGTGCTTCACGGGGGATTGTAGTAAGTGGGGGTGAGCCTCTTGATCCACGGCGAAAGATAATTCCTTCCCTGTGGAAGTTTTCTTGGTCTTCACTATACACTTTAAAACGCACGAAAACCTCCTTTTCAGTTTTCGATAGCTTCCGTATTCTTTTCTCCTCGAAAAGTCCGTTTAGTCTCCACTCGGTTCAACAACCCAAGAGCCTTCTTCACATGTCTTTTCCTGTCCTCTACTACCTCTAGAATGAACTCTTGGACCCCGTTATACCCTGAGGGTTACACACCTTCCCCTTTGTTACACAGGGGTCACCTGCTGTTACACCGTTAAACAAAAGTAGGGAGAAACTTCCAGAAAGAAAGACAATAGAAATGAAGACAAAGGGAAATGTATTTAATAAAAATATAAACTATAACTATACAATTATGGCATGTAGCCACAAACACATCCCAGTGTTTTGTGGTGTAGTTTAATAAGAGTGGTTAACCAATGGAAAACAATTGTAGTGAGTACGAATCACCAAGATTCAGACTCAACGTTGGTGAGGAGTACAAGGCTGTGTGAAAGTTTAGAAGGTGTAAGACAAAGTATTACAACCAAATTATGAGGAACGAACAGTTTATTATCAAAGTTGCTAATTAACAGGATACCGATGTCCGTCACAGAGACGAATTTACAGATATAGTTACAAACGGGTCTCTGCTCTCGTTCAGTTTTCTTACATAAATTTTGATCACGTGATCCTATTATAACTAAACTACTTATAACTAACCTTAACCTAATACGATGACTAATAGAAAGATGAAGAAAGAAGAAAAAGGGGTCTACCGGTAGTTAGCAAAACGGGGTCCTGATCTGGGTGGTTGATCACTGTGGATGTCCGTTAACATCGTTCCAATCCGTTAACATCGGATTTTATACTGTGCCTTGGGTGTTCAATCTGCACCGAGGTATCTCTTCAGACTTTACCGAAACGAGTCTCTTGATTAGTTCTTGACTCTGTCCCCTTGGTTCTCTAGGCTCTCTCTCTGTCGACATTGACTAACTTGCGTTCCAGAGGAGTCGTCCACAACTTGCCTTCTCGGTGTCCAACCCAAAAGTGGTCGTCTTTCTCACCCTTTGTCTTAAAAAAAAAAAAAAAAACCCACGGGCAGGACCCCCTCCCTGTCGGCAAAACACCAATCAGGACCCACAAAATTCCCGCTCCTGTCAGGTGACAGGAAAGGGTTATTAGCAGAAGGAAGAAGGAGGAAAGGAAAGAACAAAGGAATTCTAAATCTATATACAGTATTTACATAGACAAAAATGGCAGACAGCCACAGCTGTACAAAAAGAAATATTGAATGAATACAATTTAAGGAAGGGAATTATATTTATATCATGCAGAATTCAATAATTAATACACTAGTACACTAGTTACTAAGATTACAAAAGAACCATTATGCTTATTAGCCTAATGGTGATATTTACAGTATATACAATGGTGAGTATATGTTGAGACCACTGGCACATTCATTCAATCTTGTTCAATCCAAACAATAAAAAGGCAGACAGGAACAGGCACACTATACACGAGTATGAAATATTTTGTTAATCTTCCTTTCCTAATCAACAGTTCTTCCACTCTGGACTCAATCTTCTTCTCGGTGCAAACGGATTCTCCCTTCTATCCAAACCAAAGAGTCCAGCGTCTCGTCACTACTCTTCACTCTTATTTCGCTTACCTCATTCTCCACAAGTCTCAGACGAACAGAACAAAAAAAAAAAAAGGTCCCTCTACACGTTGTACACTTGCTTTTAAACCCCCCCTGCCATCCGGGGTTTTTACCTGTCACTTGATTCACTACAACCAACCTGACCAACGAGTGGTTGCTGAAAACAGAGGCAAGCGACAAACGGAACGTTTTACAAATGAAAATATCACAACAAGGTAGGGGGTCTCATGCAGGGCCAACCCTGGTATAAAAATTAGACAATACAAAAATATAGAACAATTTAGTGACAGAGCAGTACACAATTTAATAATGTTTATGATATTAAAAAAAGCAATTGTAACTGCTTGGGATAAAATTGGTCCTAAAAGGCTAAAAACTCTTACTGCATCCATGACCAATTGATTGATTGATGTTATTCAGGTTAATGGTAAACAAACTAAGTATTAAAATTGTTATTTCCACTATATTTTGTTTTTGTTGTGTTTTTTTTTTGATCCTGGTCTCAAACTTTTTTCCAGGCAAATTGCAAATAATAATTTGTTGTATTTGAATTTCTTAAATATGAAAATTAATTTTTACTACAAATTTGATTTATGATTATTCTAATACCTAAACTAGAACATATTTAAGGAGATCAGTTAATTTTAATGGAAAGTTTGAAAACCCAGGTTGTCTCAAACTTTTTTCTAGGTCTGTACTTATTTGAAATATTTTAAATAATAAATTCATTAATTACAATTAAACCAAATAAAATGTCATCCAACGAAATCTGTACTTCTCTCTAACCATATTATTCAAAGATGGAAAGGACATCATACAAATAGTATTTTTATAGCTTCTATTATTTTCTGGATGATTCACTATTCACCCAACAAATAGTAATAATTATGATTAATATTGAATGATTAATAATTCATCCACTATTATCATGTACTGTACCATTGTGCCTTATGTCTTTTCTTTCCCCCCTTTTGCCATGTTGGTAGGTCTGGCTTGGTGGCATGCCCCCTAAGTAAAACCCGGGATGTGTCAGGGTTCAAGGTTATGTGTGTTTAATTAATTAATTAATTAAAAAGGGAATGTAATTGGGGTGGGAGATTATTCTGGGGCGACCGCCCCAGAATAATCTCCCACCCCAATTACACTCCCTTTTTAAACACACATAATCTTGAACCCTGACACACCCTGGGTTTTACGCCACCAGATGAAGACTGGGAAAGAAGAGAGGAGAGCAAACTGGGGTAATCGGTGAAT